ATATCGCGGGTGGTCACTGTGACGTACCTGCTCCAGTTGTGAGTGTTGATAGATACATTCACTCTACTTTCAGCCTGTTTAGGTGAAGGTAGGTCGGCAGACCACAGCGGGCGAAGTAGGCTTACGCCAAAATTATTTGCCAAGACTTGCCGAATTCTTGAATCTGAGCAGGCAGCTTTTGGGCAAGCCATTAGGTGACCATAGCGGTCAAAGCTGCCAGCCATTTTGGTACGGCGTATATGGCCGTAGCGGCTGTAGCAGTTCTCTCAAGACCCATTGGGGCCTGCCGGAACCTCAGAGTGATGGATGCCATTGGACAACTCCACCTTCCACTGACCGCCTACCCCGAAATGATTGAAATTCGTGCCTTTTCTTGACTCTCCAAATTTCACCCTGGTGCCCGAGCCTTGGCAAAAAGATTTGCCTCCCTAATCGGGAGGCGCGTGTGTGACACCCTTGGAGTCACAGGGATTCCGTTGAATTTGTTCTCACTTTTTGCCTGTTTTGGTCTTAACCTCTACTTTGATAGACTCTTTATTTCGGGGGACCATCCATGTACTGTGCACTATGGTCCAACGAAGCGGCCACAGTACATGCGGATATCAAGGCTGATCACCGTGACGTACCTGCTCCAGTTGTGAGTGTTGATAGATACATCCCACTCTACTTTCGGGCTGTTTAGGTGGAGGTATACAGGTTGGCGGACTTTTCACGCCCCTGCCGTCCTTATCGCTCGTTCGACTCTCGGACTCTTGGATTTGGCATTGGCGTTGAAGGTTTGCAGAGAGAGTTCACGCTCACTTACCCCCCTGGATTCCTTAGGTTTTCACTTAGGCTGGCGAGTGGCAAGCCGCAATCGAGTCAGCGCGCACTTCCTAAGTGTGTGTTTGTGTGTGTGTGCGTGCACGTCGGGTTGCTTTGGATTCAGTCACTTTAGGGGAGCAGAACTGCAGGTGACGAAATGCAGAAATCGAAAAGAAAAGATGTCCGAAAATATATAGAGTAAAGATGGAGAAATTTGTAGACAACAATAGAAGTGTAGGAAAATGTGTAGAAGACCAACCTATCTAAACGTAGAATAGGGAAGTACCTCTTTATCTGGAAGTATCAACAAGTAGAGATTTTTAGAAAAATCCGAAAAGTGGGGGTTGCAAGAGAACATTATGGACATCATTCAGACTCTTGGAGACACGTGTAAAAGCGTAGACATTTGCAGAGGAGCTTCGCAAAGATTCTCGTTAAGAGAAAAGGAAAGTACAGTCCCGACACATCACATCACGACAGAAGCGAACCTGCTTTGGCTTTAGTCAAAAGTAAGAGCTGGTGGACAATGAATTTTGGTGTGCCATTTCAGTTTGTGGCGCATCAAGAACCCAAACAGAATCCGCTCGGTAAACTTCACCACGCCGAGACGAGATGAATTCAGATGAGATGGGTAGGTACAAGAACATACAAGAAGCAGAGTCACAAGCAGTCCTTTGCATTGCGCCTGGCGTGTCCCAAAAAATTCCATGGAACCATGGCGAAGAGACTTGTGCCTTGGTAGCTAAGCAGGTCTCTCGAGAGCCTGAAAGAGATGTGAGGATTGTCGGTATTTTCCATCGATAGCTATCACAGGTCTTGATTTGCTTTCCAAGATGGGGTAGTTGCCATTGTGTTTTAAACCTTTTTGGATTATAATTATATAGCTATAGTTCGAAGGCTCGATCTCTCAGACAGCCATTTAGACAAGAAACTGTTCTCTTACAGAGACCAGCAAGAGCAGTCGCAGTGCACGCTCAGAGTGTGTTGATAATCTGGCATACAATGTTACACTTGCTAGCAAGTAGACGAGAATTCAAACGATGTGGGTAGGATAAGTAGAGGACAGGATTCGATAGAGCAACAAACTGCTGAGAACTCCAAACAAGGTACCTTGGTACTCTGAGCACGTTCATTTCTAAGGGAGGATTCACCAGGGTTCATGCCTCCGACCAAGGTTATGGGCCCCTCTCCAGGGACCGGACTCTTTGCCTCTCGCCCTTGCTCAGCGTGGGGGCTGGAAGTGGGAATCCTCTGGACTAGTCGGGGCTAGGTTGATGAAGATACCTTTGAAATGCTTTTCATGTTTTTTCCACACATGCTGGTGTCGCGTTCTCCCGTCTCCGGCCATCTACCATTAACTCACATCACAGCTCCAGTCACACAACTCACACAGCACAACTTACACAACTGAACCCAAACACTTTCTGCTGCAGGGTTGTGGTTGTTGTTGTTGTTGTTGTTGCTGCTGCTGCTGGTGGTGGTGTTGTTGTTGTTGTTGTCGTTGTAGTTTCATAGTGCTGGTTCTCCTTAGTCACTGTCACTGGCCCTCCTCGACTCCTCCGCTGCGTTCTACAGCTCTGTAGGTGTCGGATGTTGCGAGGTATTTCGATGACGTGCCGCGCACTAGATGCAACCGTGTGTCACCAAGCCTGAGACTCCCCCGGGGGGACTCCCCCCAGTCCGCTCACCAGCAACACACCGTGTTTACAGAACGCATGCTTCCCATTCCCCCACGGCATAGAGCTCGTTCCGGACCGCAGCAGGGGCACACCCCCTTACAGAGCAACAAAATGCAGCGGAGGAACACAGCAATAGCAGAACCTCCCAGAGAGCAGCAAGCAGTAGCCGAAGAGCGCCGGGCAGCGTCAGACCCTCTACAGAGCAGCAGGTGGACCGCGTCAACGCGAAGGAGTGGTGACGACCAAGGGAAAGTGCGTTTGCGGCTCTGTGCTGTTGTGGAACCGGAAGCACGCTCAGCTCGCGCAACTCAACTCACACGACACACGTTCGGCAACCACTGCTTTCTGTGCGCGAACTAGCGGACGGTGATGTGGACACTTTATTGTCTTCAGTCGCGAGTCTTGATGATATAGACATGGTTGCATCACCACCATCAAGTTACATCACGCATCAAAACGTGACATCATTTGTCGTCCCATCTATGATAGTTCGATTCAGAAACGGGTTCATCTGCAAAGTCTTCTCATTTTTCTCATTATTGCGGTGCCTTCGGACCACTCTGTTCATCATTTGCGTCCACTTGTTTGCTATCAGTCCTCTTCCGTCCGCTTTTGTTCCTTTATGTTATACATTGTTGTGCCCTCCCTGCAACAATCATGGAAGTGGACAACCCCCTCTTGGTAGAGGAAAATAGCCTTCCAAGGGGCCACTGTCCACTTCCATGATTGTTTCAGGAAGTGTAGATGCTATAAAACATCTACAGTATAAACACACAAGTTTGACACATGTTTTCTTTTTTCTTGAGGAATTGCTCATCAGCGCGGGAGCGCGGTTGCTCAGGGATTCGCGAGCTGTGCTGAGGTGCATGAGCCTCGAGCGAGCAAGAGCCGGTGGCCTGGGATGGAAGTGAGAGATTGATCCCCCAGGAGAATTGGAAGTGAAAGATAGTTTTGAAGTTGACAGATGTACTGTATTGGGAATGAAAGCTTCAGCTTGGCAATTATGAAGTAGTTTGTCAAATCCTTCTACTTGGCAGCAGCTGACCCTGACTCACCAAAGAGGTACTCACGAGAATCAAAAGATGATGGGAAGTCAATGGCTGACCAAGAGGAGGTGCATGTTTCAAGACTTCGCTAGTGGAATTGTGAATTGTGTGTGTACACCTTGGAATCACAGGTTACCTCTTGGTGTTTGATAGGATTGGCAGGAGCACACACACACAGCATCCATGACCCAGCGTGTGCAACGAAGCTGCGGTCATGGATGGGAAGGGAAGGCTGATCACCTTCCTGTACCTGCGGTTTGTGATGGTTTGTGAAGGTTTTAGCCACGCTCCAATCGTAGAGGTCCTCAGGCCGTTGCAGGATGATTCAGGTCGGCAGATGAGAACGTTCGTTGTCGATCTCATCGCTTTTTGGAGTCTTCTGAAACCTTTGGAAGCCCTGGACCTCATTGAGCTTTTGAAACTTGACTCCAATGTCGTGGTCAGACCTCCTGACATGCACTTCCTCCTGGTTTCCTAGGTTTGTTCACCTAGGTCCGAGTGGCGTGCGGCACTCACATCGTACGTGTGCACTTCCTGAGTGTGTCTGGCTTTGTGCCAGCCTGGAGTGAGCTCGAAGAGTGCCCTCCGTGGCCCTGTTGAGCAGGGGTTTGTCTCGTTTCCAACCGGAGAAGGTGTAGCCCGCAGCGAGCGTAGGAGGTTTATGATAATAGCAAACGTTGATTAAGACTTGCATCATGGTGTCCTTTGAGCAGGTTTTTTGCCTAGGTGCCCGCAGCGGGCGGTTAATGAAGGTGTACGGAGACACTGGGTGATCAATGTGATGGCTTGCTCCACATTGGCTTGGATGCTGGGGGTCCATGTGCGAGAAGATGGCAGGAGAAGATCAATGGACGCCTTGTGGAGATACTGGAGTGCTTTGGCCGACAAAGTTTCACAATTTCAGCATGTTGAATCGAAAAGCATAATTTGGGGCACCTCTCTCCTTGAGTTTCGAGGTGCCTCATTTAGAGTTTTGCACTGTGGCCTAAGTTGCCCAGGCTAGACTTGTACTTTCAATTGTTCTTGTGCAGTGTAGCCAGCCCGAACTCATCTGGACTGAGGCGGAAGTGTGCCAAGTTGAGGAGCCGTGCAGAGCAGGAGGCAGGGCTGCAAACTGTACATTGAAGTCATGGAGTCGCTATTCGGTTCCTGTAAGTCTGAAGCTTCGGTGTCACTATAGGTGTGTTGGTCATGTCATATCATGTCTAAAAGAATTTTGCAATAGTTTTCCTTCCTGAGTGGTTGAAACACCGGTCCAACCGGTCACTTGCTTCAAAAACCTTCAGGAGAAGAACCGCAAAACTTTGCAGGAGGAGTTGGAGGATAGAAAGCTGTGAGCACACGGCAAAAGGAAGGAACTAGCCGACCGAAACCATCTGAAACCATCTGAGGTCAATACTTTGATTCTATCCAGTTTCCATGGACACTATATGGCATGAATGCGACGGACGTCCATGCTACGCATTATAATATAAGTGGATGGATGGGTGGACGGATGGAGGGAGGGATGGAGGGATGGAGGGACGGATGGATTGATCAATCGATAGATAGATACACACATGGTTGTCGATCTAAAGGTCCTAGACAGCATTGTGTATGACGATGACCCGGAACATATCAAAATCTCATTTGGCGAATTTTTTCTCGAGTTGGCGAAAGTAAATTTTTTTTTGGCGAAAGATCTGGCGAAAGATTAAATATGTACTTTTGTATGAATCTTCATTTGCTTCCTGAACAGCTGGTGGCAGTGACTCAGAAGTTAGATGAGCTGTGGAAGTTAGATAGCCTGCTGCTGCGGCTGCTACTACTACTACTACTACTTCTTCTACTACTTCTACTACTTCTACTACTTCTCCTACTACTACTACTACTACTATTCCTGCTCCTGCTTTGGGGGGGTGGCTTTGCCACAAAACTCTACCCCGCAAAACGCGACAGTTTGGCGGAAGTTCAGCTCAAGATTGGCGAACGTTCACCCTGCCACATCTGACCCCCAGCCCATTATGAGTAAGTCTGAGTGACCGGCTATCAAAAGAGACGTACAGGGTGTCAACAGTTAAGTAGAAGACACATGCTGACAAACAGTGAAGTTTCTATTTTGTGTTTGCCAGTAAAGAAGAAGCCATTGACGTGAACAAAGCACAACATACATGGCACACATAAGTACAACGTACTTCGGCGAAAGATAAAACGCAGGAAGGCGACAGTTTGGCTAAAGTAATTTTTTTTGGCGAAAATGACGGATCCCGGATAAAGGAATTTAGATCAACTCCCACACATATATATATATATATATCGCAACGGCATTTACAGACCCCCACAGCGAAGTTGGGGACGAACTCAACCACTAAAGATTGAGGGCCAACGGCCAACTTAGGTGTCTCTGGACTAAAGTCGGGTTTGTCCTGTCATTCACACGAATTTATGGCCTTACAAGAAACAACATATATCTTGAACTTTGTTGCAACCTCATAAAGAATCCGTCATCAGCTCGACCAATCCGACGCCAAATCCTTTATGCGCCCAACCCCCCCTCAAAGCTGCAGAATTTGTAGAACCAGCTCCAGGGACTATTAGTAGTTCAGTGCAAGTGATGGGACTATGATTGCATTCAGTCGTCCCTTGCAATGGATAGAAGATGCTAGTTCATTCAAGACTCTAAGCGCCGACCCTGAATGACTCTCGCAGACGGACTCTCGGTGCAGGAGTTGCGACCGCGATGCGAAGAGTTGCAACGAGAGGTGGGGCAATTGGCGCCCTATGCGTATCCATTTGTACCCCAAATGAGACCAAACTGTAGCTTTGTGTGAGGTTGGCTTAGGGTTTGGGCCCACGCTTTCTTTCAGGAATGACTTTCCCAAACAAATATCAGAACATCGCCTGGCATCAAAACACGACCAAGTTTGTATTTCATGACTTTTGCAACTTTTGCCCAATCACCGCTTTGAACCCTGCAAACCAATGATAACCACACGACAAGGCTTGGATTCGACATAGCTGATAGGGCTCAAGGGTTTTGCTGACATCACAATTCAATCATCAAAAGGCCAACATCAATACGAAAACTCACATTCTCATTTGTCCACATCGAACACTGCCTGCCGCATTGAGCACTTGTTGTTGGTCGAGGTTTGTGACCTGCGAGCGGCGCATGAGAAGTTAGCTGAGGAGACGTTCCTGAAAGTGGTGAGGGGACGAACGTGGTGGGAGATTCCTGAAAGGGTGTGATTAAATCCTCCTTTCACCACCCAGTTGGTGCACAGACAGATATTTTGTTGAATGTGTATATAAATCTTTTGAGAGATCCTCAAAACCAGCAGTCTGCAACTCGCCTTTTTCTTTGCAAAGAGATTGGCTGCTGAGCTGCTGAGCACAGCCGCTGTTGCCCCCAACAGGATCGACAAGAGGCACTGCGCCGCAATGGCGAGCTGGCCAACATACAACAGCAATGCTGGGCACTGAGAGTTCCTGAGCTCCTGTGCACCTCCACTGCTGCACTGGAAGTGTTGCGTCAACTGCCCCTGACAATTGCTTCAACTGCCCTGACGCTGACCTCTTCCTTGCGTGCTCTTTCTTGATATTTGGGCTGCAGATGGCACCCTCTTCATGAATGGTATAGTGACCCTGGATGGAACGTGAATCCTGGATGAAACTGGAATTGCATTTTGACTTTTATCCATTTGCGACCTCCATACTCTATATCCCTTCGTTAGTTTGGTTTCGCTAGCATTGGCGTGGGGATTGCAAAAGGGAAGGGCTTTGCCCACGAATTGCTTGCTTGTACGCCTCGACACTAAATCACAGCAAGCAACTGGGTGGTCATGCATGGCTGCTTCTCCCATGCTCCCCTTTGGCCCAAGCATGTTGATTGCTGCACTTTTGGCACAGTGTCAAAGCTGATGGCCGGTCGCAAGTTGCCATGGCTTGCCAGCGTTCGAAGAGGAGTGGTGCTACTATTTTCATTTATTGACCATTTGCACGCTTGTTGACTCTCTTGAGGCAAGTCACTTTACCCATAGGAAGAGTTGGCAGTTTGCATACAATAAATCAATAACAGCTGAACTTATGTTTCATGCTCCTAGAATGCAACTGTTTATATAAGTGCACTGTGCACTCATGCAAGCCGGATGAAATGAAGATGGAACCAGGTGCTTCTCTTGAGTTCAGTTTTGTTGACTCTAATTTCAACAACATTGTCAGAATCTTGCAACCATTTGATGCAAGTTGAGTGTATATCGACTGTGGCTGTATCTAAGCTGGTGTTGGACCTGCAAATTCTCAACAATCAACATGTCAACCGTTCAAATGCCAACGACCACTGCAGAGTTGCTCGAGCACGCAGTGCTGTGTACTCGTTCCTGCCGGGTCGGACACGCACATCGACACCTGGGAGATCATGTGGTAAAGATGGAGGAAAGCAGGACGTTGGAGGCCATCGCCAAAGGAAAGGGAACCGCCCAAAGACCCCTACAAAAACATACAAACACCCACCAATGGTTCAATTGAAGAGCCAGGTGTCAACTTGGTTACCTCAAAACAATGGCCTTCGACAACAGACCCCCAAAACATGCGCACAAATGCCACACATGCCATGCATGCCACACGCGCACGTGAATATGTGGTGGGATCAATGGTTCATCCAACTTCATGTCATGTGGGCCAAAGTGCGTCGCTTGAGGCAGCCTCGCTTGGCCACATCACTCTTGGGAAGCTTGGCAAGCACGGCCTCCGACGCTTAACGTCGGAAGACCACCCGTTGGCACCGAGTTCACGAGCACCTGAAGAGGTCGTAGCACCGTTTGTGGCGCCATCACTAGACATGAACGCAATGTGCGTGTGTTTTTTTGTTTCCTGAAAGACTTCCCAGGAAGGCTGCAAGGAGACCAACTACCAGGAGGCGCTCTGAACTGTTTGGAAGACATGCAAGTGCAACAGGTCGACGCTCAGAAGGGTTGCAATAGTGAGAACGGAGAAGGGTTGGTGGGACATGGCCAGATTGTAACATTGAATATGGTAACATGGATTTCCAAGTATGCTTTCTTTCAAACTGTGGCTGGTGCCTTAACAATTCCAGCCTCTGGAGGACCAACAAGTTTCTACCAAATTCTAAACAATATGATATGAACATTTGCTCTAACTGTGGATTCTTAACAATTGTGTGACTTTTATTAAAGAATAAGTTTGACTTTTGAAGTGCTGCCAGATCCTTGCAGCTACCGTGCACACTGAGGAAGCTAATGTTTTTCACTTTACAGCTATCATCTCTGCCTGTGGCGACTCGGCTTATTCCAGGGCGGACCTGATGATTCTTTTGCTGAGTTGAACTTGTGCGCCCTCTTGCGTTGAGAAGCGAGGCAAAAACTCCAAATGGGAAGCTGCCCTGTTCTTCATGAAGGATATGGCAGAGTCTCAGGCAGGTTGGTGCACCTGTTTCGAAGAAGAGCCGTCACATAAGGAATATGTCTTCGCTGTCGCATGGCCACACCGAAGACCACGTCTCTCAACCGGATGATCTGAGGTGCTGGCCAACGAGGTGACTTACAGTACAGCAAAGAAGGCCTGTGCTGAAGCCCACCCAACAGCAAAGTGGAGAGAGGCAATTCATTTACTCAACGAAATGCCTCAGCTTCAGATCAAGCCGATGCCCAGCAGAAATATGTGAAGTTCATTCGTGCATTCCATTCGTTGTTCGTTGAGGGTTATAAACAACTGCAAGCCGAGAAGGTTCTACCCGCCTCTTCAGAACCGAGGAGTCCTGTCAGGTCTTTCTGTACTTTCACGTTTGGTGCTTTCACCTGCTGCTTTCACTTTCACCTGCTTTCTATAGATTCCATCGTAAATCATCTTAGGGATGTCTTCAGCAGCTGCTCAGCCATCAGTGGAACTGCCACACAGGGCTTGTGGCAACATGCGACGCTGGTACTCTTTGAGATGGACAACTCCAGATATTTGGACATAGAACAGTGAACAGCGTCGCACTGCAGAACTTTTCTTCACTTTGTCCGCTTTGATGACCCTCTGTTCTAGGTGGAGCGAACGATAGGAAGATGTTTTGGCCGTTCCTTTGTGCTGCCCAGGAATCCAGTCGAATGAGCTGACCAATTCCGCAATCATCAGTGCTTGCGAGAAGGGTAGACAATGGACATATGCAATCTCCAGCTTGCTGCAACTGCTACATTCTTTCACAGGAGACGTGATCACCTTCAGCACAACCCTCAGTGCACTGAAGACGGTGTGGGAATCTGCATTCAACTTACTGGGCATGATGCTCGCGCGCCAGGTAGTACCAAATACATTCACCATGAATTCAGTAATGGCAACGCGGAGTTGTGGGGGCCAATGGCAACGACCGCTTATGATTTTGCATGCGCCGGAGCTCCAGCCGCTGATCGATGAAATTAGCTACAACTCGGTGATGACTGCATGTGAGGAGATCGAATTCCATCCAATACTTTTGTTGGGGTGTTCTTTCCTTTATGGGGATTCTGATGGGTTGAGCAGACTTCAACAAATGCTCTAAGTGAGGAAGACGGACACCTTCGTTCTGGTCGCCCCGTCCACCTCTCCCCAGGAGGCACAGCATTGGAGCCTTGCACTGGACCTCCTGGGATCGATGATGCAGCGTTTCCTGCAGCCCGACGAGGCCGGTCGGCGAGTCGGCTGGCCCTTGCAAAAAGAAACACGACGCCGTAAGAGTACGTTTTGCGTTCGCTTGGTGTTTCTTTTTTTTCTTGTCCATCTATTTATTGTAGCTAGGTCAAAGACGAGGGGCGGATGATCCTCCTATTATCAAGGGGTTCAAATAGTTTATTTAGATGAGAGATGGTGAGAGCGGATTGTATGCATGATGGATCATGATGGTATGTTATGGACACGACCACCTCCTTTCCAAAAAGCAAAGTGAGGAGCTTTCAACATCACTAGTTGTGTGACCAAGAAACGTGACGTGGGTCCTTTTCTGTAAAGCTGTAATTTCCCTCATCGCAGAGCAACAATCCTCCCGGCATATCACGGAGGCGTAGATATAACTATAAAGATCGATGAGTCGTTGGCCCTGCGGGCCTTGTGGGGCACAACCACTCATCAACCTATCTGGATCCTGTCCAGGTGACTTATAGCTCCATGGTCTCCGGCTATGAGCGCAGCCAGTGTTGGCGTGAAGCGCTGCACGCCCTGCGCTTGCCCCGCGACCGCATGGGCATCACTTGGACCTCGGCGGTGACCGCATGTGAGGCCTCGAGCCACTGGCAAGCCCCTCGGAGCCAGTGGCGAAGATCCCGAAGTCACGGAGCTGGCGATCACCGCCTCGGGGAATTACTTGTTGGTCGTTGGAGTCGATGTGGGTGAAATATGGCGAAATGCTACCTTGCTACATGTCGGGACGTTGCCATTTGCAAAAGATAGGCTGTCAAGCCGCCTGAACGAAATATGCCCTTGAAACAATTTGAGAGACACTGGGAGGTATGCGAGTCGTTCATTTGTTACACAGGCCGTCGACCGATATAGCACGCAGGCAGTGGTGTTCCATCGATTCCGTTCCACCCAGGCGGTCTTGCAGCTCCTGAGCCATGTGCTGAGCGACAGACTGCGCCTAGACACGTTGTTGGTCGCTGCAGCGCTTCGCTGCTTCGCCAGGGCCAGGCAATGGCAGAAGGCACAGCACTTCGCTGAGCTGTGGCAGAAGGCAGGAGGCGAAGAGGATGTGGTTTGCAGCCCAGCTGAGATCCGACCGGACCGAACCACGCGTTTGCAGCGAGGGACAAAGGTGGGACTCGTGCGACTCAAGGTGCGGAAGCCCTTGCCCAACCTAAGGCTCAAAACCAACATTCTGGTGGCAGTGCCAGCTGTCAGAGCAAACATAGAAATCTTGAATAATATATATATATATAATTTTATATACTATATATATATATGCATATAATGGAAGAACTAACTCTATTCTTTGAACATTACAGCAGTTTGTGAGGTATGGCAGCAACACTTGCTGCGTGTCATGGAGCGGGGCAATTCATCGAATCTTTGGAGCTGATGGGGAAGATCAGCCCAGCTGCAGTTCGGAACTGCTGCTCTTCGCCGGACAAAAGGGATGCGGTGCCTTCAGCTCAAGGGTACTTGGGTGCTCCAGCTTTTCTGATGTCCATGGCTGGAGCGCGACAAACAACCAGAGCGGTCCAACGGTTGTTTGAGTCAGACCCTGAACAAGGAATCACTTAACAAGTTGCTAAGTTTCCCCCAAAATCGAGAAACCAAATCATTAGTGCGTGAGCTATCCTACGTCCCAAGCAGTAGCTACTTAAGCTACTAGCTACTGTACCTCTTCTACGAGCTACCTAGCTACTACGCATACGGCCTAATCCCCCAGGCAAAAAAGAGGAATTGAGGCACAGGGCGCCGCAGAGCTCCCAAACCGGCAGCTTTCTTAACAGTGAGCTAGCGAGACCTCATGCTCCATTGAAGCAGACCGTCCGCCCCTCATCTTTAATAGGCTCTGTCTGGCAGGCCGAGGTTTGGTGTGTTTCATCAAAAGTAAAGGTCCAAGAATCAGAGCCGCTGGGCGAGTTGGTCATCGGCTTGGGTACAAGCTCAAGGGAGTCCACGAGAACGCAATCCTTTGAGGTGGTGTCGGTTAGTATTATTTGCCTTTCAGCTGAGGTGGTGTGGCGCAGCAAGCCTTGCAAGATCGAGATGTCGAGCTGCGCCAGTGCATGGGCCCAGCTGCAGTCCAACAGTCTCGTAACGTAGGCCGTTGGCGCAAAAGAAATTCTGTTGCGAGCGTACTCAGAAGACCAGCCGGTTGTGCCAGCAATTTGTGTCGGAACCCTTTTTGCATCTATGCCATTCTGCCATATTCTCCCCTGGTTGGCTTGAGGTTGCAAGAGCAACAGGCGCGCTCTGAAGAACAGCCTGAGACTCGGACATCTCGGGAAAGAGGAATGGGGAAAGAGTTCGGATCAACCCCCAACTGGCACGAGATCTACTTCGCCTCGGCCACTCTGCACTCGCCACATTCGCTTCATGGCCGGCGAACGAGTTCGGCCGATCTGCGAACTCCAAGCTCGCAACACTGAGGTGGAAGGCTCAGATTGTGAAGCTGGTGGAGGAGATGCGAAGGGCGGAGCAGAAGTCCTCGACCTTGGCCAAGGACCAGTGAGATGAATTTGCTGTGAAGCAAGATCACTGGGTGGGAAGAAAATATGGGAGCATGACAACTCAATATTCAACATTGGTCCGGAGTCCTTTGGCAATTCTAAAGGATTCCAGTTACAGTACTTGTTGCATGTTGATGCCAAACTCGTTGCTGACATTATCGTCTTGATACCAAACTTGTTGGTGACACTTGACGTCTCTTAGGGTTTCCTAATAGCTCCTCTCAAGGAGCTGGCAGCTTCCAAAGGGGAGCTGCAACGCCTGAAGGCCGGTGGTCAGGATGTGGTTCGGCGCTACGAGGCGTGAGAAAGGGCTGGCGGGCTGGCTGACTTGGAAGAAACGATATATGATGATATATGTATATATATATATTTTACTTTGCACATTTGCACAACCTATAATTTATCATATAGGTAAGCATAGTTTCAAGAGGTGTTTCCTGCTGATATAGGGCTTGAGGATGAAACTGGATTTAGGCAATTATCATTCTGCTTTTCCAAAGCCAACTGTGATGAGTCCACTCACTTTCTGTGAATCTTGATTGTTCTGTACCAGTTTGAAAGGAGGAAAGCGGCCGCCGATTGGAACTGGAAGAGCGTTGCTTGCAACTGGAAGAAAAGGCCGGTGAATGGTTGCCTCTCTGGCACTTGTGCGTGATGCCTTTAAATCTACCTTGAGGATTCTTGAGGATCGTGCTTATCAACACCACAGTCTAGAGCTTCAACAGCTATCTCACTCCTGTTTACTCTAGCTGTTGACATGCTTCATCCGGATACCGTATATATCGTACTTGAATGTACTCGACAGATAAAGCATGCTGCATGAAAGGACTTAAACATCTTGGCTTCTGCGCCAGTTAAAAACTCGCGAGCAAAGAACTCGCAATGATGCTGACTGCGCACACAAGCTGAAGCAGTGCCAGCAGGCCGGGTTTGTCATCTTGCTTCTGGATTCACGCTGTGAACAGCCCTAGTAGATGGAGACTAGTCCCTCTTGCAGAGATGACAAAACATCACCTGGTCTTACCTGGCGAATCATAGAAGAGCCAGCTCAATCGTAATTACGTCACTTGAGGCAAAAGAGGTGGCCGAACAGCAAGCCAAAGAGAATGAAGAGTCAGTGGCTTAAGTTTTCATCGGTGATGGCGATGTTTTCAGCTGCCGGCCACACACCGAAAAATCCGAAAAGGAAGATGATGAAAGATGTGTCTTCCCAGACCCGAGACAAAGCTGGTTTGTCAGTTCACAAGGATAGACGTGAACTCAAACTCGAAGACTATCCAAGACTCACGTTCTTGGCTTCTGAAGCCTTACTGGATACCCAATTGATTGTCTACTCGTATTTGAGTGAACACTTGCTGGACAATGCATGTTAAGGTCTGGGAAGCTTTGTTGGAGACCCAACAGTTGCACCGAACATTTCTCCCTGACCTCATCCTCAGGGTTTTGCTAGTAGCTTCTTGCTCCGTTCGTAGCGAAGCCCTTTGTTCCTAGTAGCTTCTTGTTTCTATATAGTAGTATGGCCAGGAGCTACAAGTAGCTTCTTGCTCCTAGTCAGTTTTGTGTTGGCCGTCTGCGTTAAGCACGAAGGCGAAGCCAGAAAGCTGCTGAACGGCTGGAAGAGGTCTGGTTGCTGAACTGAATTGAGAGCACTTGTGCTTCAGGGCTCACTGTTGTGCTACACGGAAGAAATTGGGAATCGTTTCACTCAAAAAGCCAAGCCATCGTTTCACTGGGAATCGTTTCACCTGTAACAATCAAGCTTTCTGGAGTATGTCTTTGAAGCTTCCTTGGGAATCTACCACATTCTACCCCAGAACCTCGAGGTGTCGTTCGCGGGTGTGGTGCTGCCTTCATCCGACGACTGCGTTGTATTTCGTGTATTTGCTCACAATCGAGACTACTTCAGAAAACATCAGAAAACCGATATCAAAGCCACGAAAACCAGGCTTCGGACGTTGAGGCACCAAGGATCACTCACACCTGTCAGGTGGAGTCAAGGCAGAAAGACCTGGAGGCAGAGGTGCAGAGGCTGGGTGAGACGTTCGGCAACATGATCTCTCTCTCTCTCTCTCTGTATATAATTCTATGTATGTATATATATCTTTAGTTATTTCATTTGTCCCGGTTCGCCGTTGGTTGATTCGTTTTTATTTTCATTTTTTCTTTTAGAAGTAAATTGTTATAAACTATTGTTAGGGAAATGGGTAGCAGATTTGCAACAGATACAATCGTCACAGGGCTAGCATCGAATTCCGCAACGGACATCTCCCCAAAAGCTTCTAGCCAATGGTACCCAAAGTCACAAAACTGCATCCCCATTACCAGAGTAGATGAGTTCCATTCACTGCTGAAAGGCTCAAGCTGCAATGTTCAGAAAAGAGCCGGCGCATTGAGGAATTGGAGGCCTCTTACTAGGGGGGCTTGAAACCAGGATAATACAAGGAAAGCGGGCAAATCAATCCAAGGTTGTAAAGATGGATCATTGATTTGTCAAGATCACAGTCTCCATTGTTCGTCGTTGACATTGTCCGATTCATTTGTGAGCCACGACTCCCGGAAATCCTGAAAGAATGAATTATACAACATAATTCAACTACTACTATGAGGTATTATGCAAGTTGGCTAAGAAGAGAGTGGCAATTGAGTGTGGGAAACATTTGTGCTGAGCTTCATTCTTTGCACCAGCTTCCTGGACGTGCACACACAATCTTTAACAAGCGTGGCACATGCTTGTATGGGCTGGCGCATCAATAATGGCCATCAGATAGGATCCAGTGGCCGGAGATTGCAGCCTTTTGGTTTGTGACGTGTTTTTCTGCCTTTTGGTTTGGCTTCACGCCTGGACCTACGTCTCATAACCAAGCTATATACGTCTCATTTTCAGGCTGCATCGGTGCAAGAGATGGAGCCGCTCGGGCCCTCGCCCTCAGGGCCTTCATCAGGGCCCTCAGGGCCTTGTTGGCTCTTCATGATGTTGCGTTGAATTGATGAAGCTCTTCATATTTCCTTCACAAGCCTTTTTAGCATTTCATTGATGTCACCACCCAAAGAGAAGCATTGCGTCCTTTGGTGTCTAAGGCCAAGCGGGCCGCCACGGCCGCCGATTCCCAGAAGGTGGATTTGGGCGGTCTTCGACGGTGAATTCGAAGCTGTCTACTTCTTACACTCCCAACAGTGTTGAACTTGACATCAAGCATGATTCGATCAAGGGCGCACAAATCCTCAAGCTTTGAGCTAGTGGTGATCAAGGGACTCACTGCTTCGTCTGGCTCTCTCTTCGCCAACCCGGCTCCTTTGCTGTGAATTTCGAGATAATATGGCCACTCTCAGCCTCAATTCGTTGTTTGCCACACTCACCGAAAGTATCCAACAGCACTCTTGCAGAAGCACACCTGTCGCCAGTCGTCCTGGGACCGCCAGCAGCGCTGGCAGTGCCAGCGTAGGCACAAGCAGTTCATCCCTTAGCGACAACCGAAGATTCTTTGTGAAGCGCGTGAGAACTGTAAAATCATCATCGATTGGTTTGCGTGATTTTGTATGGTCGGTGCAGATTGCACAAGTCTTGGTGATTGCCCGATGTGCGATGAGCGTCTCGGGTGGATACTCAGACTGAGCGTCTCGTGTCCCAGGAGTTGGTGCTGGAGACTCCAGGAGCCCCGTGAGTTGGTGAGAGGGTCAAGGAGTCATAAAGTTTAAAGACATATATAAACCACTCAGTTTAAATCACATACACCTTGAAAAGCCTAGAGCTCCAGGAAGAGCAACAAGAATTCATGCCTAGAAGATCGGTCAAGACTTAGTGATCCTGGAGTTGAGGAAGCTCAGAACGCAGCCGCCCGCCTTTCAGAGACCTGACCTTAGGCTGATGGTCTTCGACAAAAGACGCAACGACATGGTCACATGGTCAGATCATTGTCCTGTGCAAGCTTGTCAAAAAGATCAAAAAGGGAAACATATCACCGGGACCGAGATAGCCATACTTGCATACACACACATATATACTGTATATATATATAATATTGCCAACATGCGTAAACGAGTAATCCAAGATTGTCCCGTAGTTTGATTTCGGCCTGGAAACAGCTATATAGACCCTAGGTCATGGTGAGCGCCTGCCTCCAGGCAGGATCCATCAGAAAGGATTGCTGGGAAGCTGCCAGGAAACACGAGTTAGGAGACTTTCGAATCACGAGTTCTGATCCTGAATTTGCTTGGTATTCTGAAGGTGCGATTCGCCGGGGTGGAAGCGTACCTGTTCGACGATCCCAAGGCTAAGATCCTTTTTTTGGGGGGATCCTCATGTCAACATCACTGTGGACATGATCATCGTTTGCTAATAAGTGTCCCACACATTTCTCTTTAATCTATTGTGCAATATGTACATAGAAATGATTACTGTATACAGATTATATGGCTATATATATATATATATTTGTCGTATCCATATCCATAAACAGTTGGTTCATTTCTTCGACCTAGAGCGGTGGCCCAGCACCCTGAGGGCCTCCTCCGCGCGCCAACCTTCAATCCCGGAGCATCAGTCCGAATGCCTCAGCATCGCAGAGGCGGACGCTGAGTGCACGAGTGCTGCCTAAACGGGTTGGGATTCTTAGGAGAGGATGTTCCTAGTAGCTTCTTGTTACTAGTAGTAAATAGTAGTAAGGCCCGGAGCCCCTAGTAGCGTCCTTGCTCCTAGTGCTAAGGCCAGGAGCCCCTAGTAGCGTCCTTGCTCCTAGTAGTAAGGCCAGGAGCCCCTAGTAGCTTCTTGTTCCTAGTGTTAGAATCTGCGATGTTTGCAGAAGGACCTTGCATGTTTGCAGGACACCACCCAGTGCCCGGACCAAATCACCTCAAACCGAGAGGCTCGGGGGCCCCAGAATGAAGCGAAGCAGACCTTGGCAGTCTGTCGGAGATGTAACTCGCAACTTTCTTGATGCCTTCGGGCCTCGCTTTGCAGGCCTGTCAGCCAAAGCAGCCATGGCAGCTGTGGAGAGGAAAGGGTTTGTTGGTGTTGCAGGGTCTCCAGTTGGTTTATCAATTTCGGAGCTGAGCTCGACCTGTCCCTCTGGGTTCGGATCTTTTCCAAAGCCCCAGAACGCTACCAGCCCGCAGATTGTTAGCTCAGAATGCGCGTTCTATGTTTCGACTTGCTAGACTCCTCTGCTTGCAGAAGCTAGCTACTGTAGACGCTACAAAAGACCAGATCCAATTTGATTTTACTTAAACTTACGACTCGAGAGTTCTGCCTCCTCCGATTCTTGGTATGTGGTTCTTCAACTTGGGTTCTTTGCCTTTGAGAACAAGAAGCTACTAGGGGCTACTAGTAACAAGAAGCTACGAGGAACATGGGGTTGCCACCGACCCGGAGGGCCTGTCTCTTCAGGATGGCTTTGATGGCATCCCCACGGACTCGGAGGACTCCTCCGAGGAGGAGGCACCGTCCGCGAGGACGGGAGGACGCGTGGAGCGGACGAGCTCGTTCCGGTGAAGAACAGAGCACGGTGAGATGGAGCGACCCCCAGCACAGCTCTCATTGCACTTCAAAAGGTGGATTAACACCATTTTGATGGTGATATATTGTGGTCTCAGTGAGGTTTCGGTTCGGTTGGAATCGGTTTGAATGTTTAATTGAATCTTCGAATCGGTTCGGTTTGGTTGAGGAAGCTTTTGTTCATGCATTTTCGGTTCGGTTCACGGTTCGTTTCGGTTCGGTAAGGGATAAGTTACCCTGTGAGACAAGACAAGAAATAGATAAGACAAACAAGACCAGAGAAGACAAAACAAGACATGATGTGATGTGACATGTCATAGCAAATCAAGATCTACTTGGTAGATTTCCTGTCCAATATGCTTTCTAGACCGCCTGGAAAAAGCATATTCACAAACAGCTGTCTTTTCCTCAGCTTCTCATGGCTCAGAGGTTGTCTTGACTTACTTGTTGTCGACACGATGTCCCTCATGGTGCCTTCGTACATGATGCCAGAGCAGCTGCGCTTGGCTCGTGTGCAGCTTTGTGTGGGGCTGTTCCTGTTCAGACCTGCAGCGTTCAGCCCTGCAGCAGCGCAACCGCACGAGCAAGCAGAGCGGAAGAGCGGAAGACCTCGTAAGGGCACAGCTGTGGCTGTGCAGGGCACAGGCAAAAGTGGCCAGTGTCGTCAGGTGGGGGTTGAATATGCTTTTTTCTGCTTGATGCAAATGCATATTTGGCTGCCTAAAGTCCTAAAGGTGTTTATGATGGGCCGCCTTCTGTTCTGAGTGCTTAAATGCTTTTTGCGAATCGGAAAAAATGCATTTTGGAGTTGCCCTGCACATGGCGCAGGCGGACCAGCAGATTCAATATTTGCAGAGCCGCCCTGATGTTGCTTGCTTGACGAAGACTTCCATGTGTCGCTTGACCAAAGAGATCTTGCAGACCATCGTCAAGGAGCGCAACAGTCAGAGAGACCCATGGCTTCCGTGCAAGGAAAACTCCTTGGCTGAGCTCAAGATCTCCGCGGCAGCTCTAGCCGTCCTCTCTCATGCCGCTGAAGCATACGTGGTTCAGAGGCTGGTGCAGGGCAATGCGCTCGCCGCTCACCGTGGGAAGAAGACTTTGACTGAGAAAGACCTTCAAACTCTGCAGACAGTGGAGGAGGTTGCGGCTGGCCATGTTTGCAAGAAGCCGAGAACACAGTGAGGGCGGTTTTTGGGTCGATGGCCTAGGGTGTCAATGCTACGCATTGTTGTAGGGATTTGTGTCAAGATGATGCTCTTGAGCTTGAAAATGTGCTAGATTGCATTTGTAGTGAGCACGCTTCTTGAGCTTCTTGAGCTTTGTCAGTGTGTACGCTTCTTGTCAGACATGCTAGACTGCATTGTAGTTGTGTCGAAGGGATGCATTTTTTCAATATGCTTTTTGCAGCAGTTGGTAAATGCACATTGCACATTCCAAGCCTTGCGTTAGCCTTACTAGACTTGTGATGCTTGGTTACTTACATTTGGTTGCACGGACTAGAGGAACATGAACACTCTTGTGCCGTTGATTTTAGGAGCTCGAGAGCTGTCCAGTAATGTAGATGTTTTTTGACCCCATGTGCTACAAATGCCTGCTGCCGCAGAAAGAAGCTGGGTGCACAGGGAATTCTGGCCGGCAAGACCAGGAGTGCCTGTGCGGTTTTGTAGAAGGTGCAACGCAGTTGAGCCAAGTCTAGAAGAAGTACAGAATGTGATCGATCGTGGTGGCAAACCACGCCGACACTGGAAAGGAGCTTGCGGCTTCGCCAGCGCCAGTACCAAAATGCGTTTTCCATTGTCCAAAAAAAGCATTTTCACACGAAAGCCACCGATGACTCCACCTTCCTTAAATGCTTTTTTAACCAGAAAGAAAAAGAATATTTGTAGTTGACTCACTGCAGCAAGGTTCGCAAGCAAGTGGAAGCTGAGATGTTGCACTATGAGCGCCTGAATGTCACAGGAGAAAGCCCTTTGTCTTGGTGGCGCAGCCATGAAGGACAGATGCCAGTGCTCGCCCAGTTTGCGCAAGCGGCTCTTGGAGTGCCTGGCTCCAGCGCAGCTTTGGAACGGCTTTTCTCGAAAGCCGGTTTGTTCATCACCAGGCGCCGCCCGCGCTTGAAGCCGGGCCGCGCCAGTGACATGTTGTTTGGGCACGCCAATGTGCAAATGCTTCTGTGACCTCGGACAGCCCTCGAAGAAACGTTGCGGATCTCGGAGCAGGGGGGAATTCCGGTTCGTAATTTTTTCCGGTTCGGTTGTGATGGGATAATTGACGGTTGTAATGATTCGGTTGATGAAAAATTTCGGTTCTTGACATTCACGAGGTTTCGGTTCTGAACAAACGGTTCCGAATCGATTCGGGACCCTTCCTGCTGTGGTGATCCTATCAATATCCATGTTATTTTTTCCGTTGTCGACTGGCCAACAGTTTGCCATAGTTTGCTTCTCCTTGCTTGTGCAACATGCACAGGTCTTGACTGGCGTGAACACAGCAGCTTGAGTAGTCATTTTTTTTCGTCATATGGCATGGTGCAGTTTGCAACTGTTTAAATGATTCAGTGTCATACGATTGTCGTCATTTTGTTTCAGACACCCCGATGTTTGTGCTTTTTGTAGGCAGTTTGTTCCCAATCTGAGCATTCTAGAACTGTTCCGTATCATGTGGAACATGACCAGTCAACTCAGCAGCCATACTCAATGGATTTGCATGCACGAGCGATCATCTCCACCGGAAAAAATGAAGAGATTCACGAGGTTGACACTTCGATGTTCTTATATAGGTGTTCTAAGATGTTCACCTTGGAAGCTATTAGGTTGGAGACCATCGCTATTAGGTTGGAAGCTGTGGAAGATGTTCCGCTGAAGCTGGTCTTCACATGAACCGCAAGCCCTAAGATTCTAGCGAGCCGGTGGACGAAGGTTCCGAGAGGTCAATGGCCAGCGGAAGAATGGAATGGATGTAGCCGTATGCGGTGTTGCGTATAGCTATCCTGTTACAGCAGCTTGTAAACATAGACTGGAGCCTTTGATTTCATCTATACAGTGGGAGCAACGTAATTACATGGTCTTTGTAAATGCTTTTGGCCTTGCATGCGGATTGCTCAAGGGGGATCGGTTTCATCAATCCAACTTCACACAGCAGAGTCCTTGCTTTTTCTCTGATTCCATGATACAAAGCTGCCCACTGGAATCAACACATGGCTTCCAAGTACACCAAGCCAGCGTGAATGATACAAAAGCTAGCCAGCTGTAGAATTACTCTATTCCTGGTCTTTGAACCTCCTTGCAGCCCATTGCCTTGGGTGGCATGACGGAACCTTGGGCTTGTCAGTGCAGATGTCCTGGCTGACTGGCATGTAAGTGTCCACCTTTGCGAAGAATCACCTGCTGTTTCATTTAGAAACAATATGAAACAATCTGAGCTTTCTTTCTCCTCAACCAAGTCAATACGTATATGCGTGTTTTTGGGTTCACAATGCACCGTCCTTGACTTGCTTATAGCAGATGTAGTCAATTTGTGCTCGATGGTGGTCTCAGGCTTTGGGTGCTATGTGGCTATGCATTAAGAACGTGGGGAATCATAAATGGGTGTGTATCAAACTAGGGAGACCTCCCAAAGGTCCCTGGAAGAAGGAACATAGATCAAAACCCGTTGGTTGGGGGTCTCCCTATCAAAATACACACCCAAATAGGTCCGGTGTGTGATGTGCTGACATTCTTTCCTTTTGGTGTTTGCAGTCCGCCCATCCCTTTGGACATAATTGGTCAGAATGCGCTCAGGAAGCAAAAAGAAGCTCTGAGACTGAAGAAGTGCCAGGGGCCGAAGAATACTCTATTGGCAGTGCTCACGTTGGGGCTGGAGCTCCAAAAGAATGGCACATTTGTGCACACAAACGGAACTGCCTGGAGGTACACACACTTATGGATATGCGTACTGAACTGACAGCGGTGCCACACGCCGGCCTAGGGTTCCATTTCCTAAGAGTATCAGTAGGAAGCCATCGAATCCTGGAGGTCTTAAAAGGAAAGGAGGCCCAAAGCACAAGGTCGAGGTCGGCGATCAGGTCGAAGTGACGGCGTGTCGTGCGTGACTGCGGCAACATGAGGTACCAAGTCTTGAGGTTCTAGGCTTAGTCTCTTGCCATTCGGAAATAATGGAAAATCGCAGGTACGTCTGGCTGATCAGGCCAGATATCAGCATGGAGCTTGACCCTCTCCGTTGGATCACCAGTCAATTCCGTGGGTGATCTTATCCTCTCTGAAACTGTTGGTCCTTTTTGACCACGAACCCCTGCTGAGTAAAAACACAATTCAAAAGAATCCCTGTGACTACAAGGGGCACACACACACGCCTCCCCGAGGGGAGGCGTAAAGCTAAGGTGAGGGCCAATGTGCACGTGTGCGCGCACAAGACAAAAGAATGAAGACATGACAGGAGGACGAGACGGGACAAAGGTGCGTGTGGTTGAAATGAAAGGGGAACCAAGTGCACAGGGACATCCGATGAAGCCCACCTCATTGCAAAGACCTGGGCGACCTGAAACCTGTGTTTAAAGGTATGTAGAAGTGCACGTACACACTAAGGCCGGGACCAATGTGCACGCAAACGAAGACAAGGATGAGATGAACAGACGTGAAGACAGGAAGACATGAAAGAAAAGAGGAGAAAAAGTGTGTGAAGGGGAAGGGATGAAAGGGGAACCAAATGGAGGGGACGAGAACCAAAGAAACCAAACCTCATTAGAAGCACCTAAGAACCTGCCTCGTTTGAGTGTAAGCGCTGTGTGTGCACCTGAGGTTGGGACAGGTTCCAATGAACCTTGAACAAACTTCGGTCGCTGCGACCACGTACGGCATGCCCGAGGGCGGCCACCTCTGACCGCTACGGTCACGTAAAGGCGTGAGCCAACTTGGAATTCCAAAGATGAGACAAACGTCCCAATTCTTGAGGCATGAGCCAGCTACTGTCCGCTGCGGACATCTACGTTCCCAGAGCCGGGGAACATGGACAAACCCCCGTTCGACATGTTCGACGGGTCCACGGGAGGCACTCTGCGGGCTCATCCCGGGTTGGCACAAGGCCAAACACACTTATGGATATGCGTACTGAACTGACAGCGGCGCCACACGCCGGCCTAGGGTTCCATTTCCTAAGAGTATCAGTAGGAAGCCATCGAATCCTGGAGGTCTTAAAAGGAAAGGAGGCCCAAAGCACAAGGTCGAGGTCGGCGATCAGGTCGAAGTGACGGCGTGTCGTGCGTGACTGCGGCAACATGAGGTATCAAGTCTTGAGGTTCTAGGCTTAGCCTCTTGCCATTCGGAAATAATGGAAAATCGCAGGTACGTCTGGCTGATCAGGCCAGATATCAGCACGGAGCTTGACCCTCTTCGTTGGGTCACCAGTCAAGTCCGTGGGTGATCTTATCCTCTCTGAAACTGTTGGTCCTTTTTGACCACGAACCCTTGCTGAGTAAAAACACAATTCAAAAGAATCCCTGTGACTACAAGGGGCACACACACACACCATTCGGATGGACCAAATTTTACTACATCGAACGATGGCCGCTGTACTTGATGGATGAATGGGTTCAGAGATGCTCAGAGGAAACAGTTCTGGACAGTGAAGACAATCGCTGATGGACTCCCGAGCTGATGTGTATGTACTGTTGAGAAGAAAGGATGGCTCCCAGACCATCCATGCGACTGGAATAGTTGCCTACATTGGGGCCTTGGGGTCACAAATACTAGTAGGTATACATATAAAATATAGTTAAGTTCCCTAAAACTCTAAGAGCCAAATGATTAGTGCGAGCGCTTCGTCAAGGAGCGTGAGCTATCCTGCGTCCGGTCGGTAGTAGCTGCTTAAGCTACTAGCGACTCCCGTTTGCTTCTACTAGCTACTTCTTCCTACCTCCTACCTCTTCTCAGCCTACCCCCCACGGCTTTAACTGTTCCAGTCCCATGGATGATTGGTGGTTTCATGTGGTTTGATGGTTTTGTCATGCGCATCGTCGGTCTGAAGGCGCTTCTCCCTGTCACCTCTCTGTGGGCCGATCGCTTCGTGCTTCGCTTCAGCCAGTTTTTCCTGCCAGCTCAGGCTTTTGGGATTGAGCCGAGCAGAGGCAAACATTGTGGCGCGACCTAGTTTTTTTGGGCATGGTTCTTCCGTTTCAAAACAATCATGAGCGATAGTACTTCTTCGATGAGACTGAAAGAGAGGCAAATGAACATCATGCCAAGATCAGGGCATAGGACCCTTCAACTGATGGTTCTGATATTCCTGCGGAAGCTGATTGGTTTTGGAGACCAAAAGCTTTTGTTGGTGCTGTCATCGTCTCCTCAAGTTATATAAATGAACAAGCACGTAAACACATCCGTTGTCACAGTCATGCTGCATGCTCTTCTACAATCTCGCTGCGTCATAGATAACTGGTGAGCTTTTATTCAAAGCGTTTGCTAGAAGGGACGAGTTGTCCTCAGGTGTGTATATATAATATATATATATACACCCTTACTGCATTCGAGTAGGACTCTTCCAAGCGGAATTCACTGAGGAGAAGCAGGAGGACGAAGTGAAGCATGCTAGACTTGAGGCTGCAAACGGTTTGGACCTTCTACGGAAGTCTGGAGATCTGACCTTGGAACAACCATGGACACTCGTTTCTCCACCCAAATAAAGGCAGAAGTTTCAGACCGAGATGCTGGACAAAACGCGAAACCGCCAGGTGAAGCTCCGTGAGATGGTCTTAGAGGTAGGGAGACGTGATTCGAACCGTCTCCATGGGCCTTCTTTTTCATTCGTTTACTTTTTAAAAAGACTGGGTCCTTTTGCTTTTTTTGCTTTCCATTTTTTGCTTTATGTTTTCAATTTGTTTTCATTCCTTCTTCCCTTATCTTCCCTTCCTTTCTGAAGAACAACTACTTGCATGTTAAATGGGAGCTCGAATGAATTGAATTATGTTTGGCGTCCTACTTTTCGCGGTCTTTTTTTTTTCACGAACACATTCACATGATAAAGAGAGGTTTACCGTGTTTGGTGCAACGTGTTGAGAACTGGGCAGGTGGTGGCTCCGACGGTGGAGCGTGCCGTTCGCATGCAAAACCACTGTGAGGCAGCTCAGAGGTTTGTCTATCTTCAATGCCAAGATATGGCAAACTGAGCAGTTCCTTTGCCAAAGGGCAAACAATTGCATGAAATGCTTATGTGTGTCTAGAAATATGGTTGATACCGTGAACGAACTGATTTTCTGGAAGAGTTTTTGAGCAAGCCTGGCTTCGAGCTGGGCTTTGAGACAAGCCCAGTTCTTGGGAGTTCTGGCAGGAGTTACCAATAGTTGTGGGATTTATTGAATATTTGAATAGGGAGACCCAAAACCATTGGGTTTTGTTTATTTTTCTTCTTCTAGGGGTTCTTTCGGATGTCTGCCTATTTCAACACACACACACACTTCACACACCCAGTTGCAAGTATTTCTCACTTGAAAAAGGAACGCACACCTGATAGAACCCACAAACCTGAATGAACACACGTAGCCCAAACAATGTTTGACACTCTTGCGTGGCACTCTCCAAAGACGCACAATCTTGGGTGATACTCTTCAATAATACTCTTGTAGGACACGCTTGTGCAACAAGCTTGCTTGACACTCTTGTGCAATCTTTTTTGAAATCCAGCCCCCAGACCCCCAGATAAACGGGAACAAAACTCCGTGCTTTGGCCAAGGTGACCATTTATCGGCCAGGATAGAGAGTCAGCATGGGATTTTGACGCTTGGATGCGGATGGGGCAAAGAACCAAGAAGAACTGGTTGGCCGAAAAACCAAGGTTCTCGTGATGGTCATTCAAGTTTTTCGCACCTAATTTTTCAGTGAAAAGTTTGGTGATGCGAACCAAAACGACTGGCTATTTTCAACTGTGATGAGTTCGCTGTGAGCCAAGGACCATGATGGCGAAAGATGTGCACAGAGCGATGGTGCGGCGAACTTGCTTGGTCACTGCCTTCAAGGGGATTAGCGTAAACTTGGGAAGCATTCTTGGGAATGGTGACAAGCGACGATGGATGCCATGTCGAGAAAATCAATACAATAGCTGCATGCCAGGACCAATTGGGCCTGGTGCACGAATTCAAGAGTCTTGGCTGATGCGCACAGGAGAAGAGTTAGGAAGGAGGAGGAAGGAGGCCTAGTTGTGCATTGTAAATTTGTGTAAAATGTTATTGTGGCAGATCAATCATGATTTTTGGAGTTTTTTTTGCAGCTCTTGTTTGACCAACATTCCGTCTCAGAGTGGCAAGGAAACAGCTCGATGACTTCTGGGGTAGCCAGAAAGACCTTGAGGCTCTGCAAGTTCGCCAACTGCTCTTGGGGACGTGTTTTCACCTTGCAAAAGGCGTGTACAATATTTGGAATGTAGGAGATAGAAGGAGTATATCCATTCCCTGCTTGTCACCTACTCCTTAGAGACAAAGCAGTGAATTGGATTTCTTTTGACCTCTAATCATAGCAGCCAGTTCTTTCGCGCAGGCAATGCATCACCTGGACGGACTAACTGGGAAGGGACAGACGATGTCCTACGACTCACCCGCCACCCGCCACCCCTCCCTCTGCCCAGCTCAAGCTTGCCAACCACGTCCGTGAAGTCCTTTCAAATGCCGGCAGACTCAGTCAGTCGGTTCGGTTTGTTACATATATTGGTCCGTTCTATGACGGCAAGAGCTTGACCAAATAACTGTACTCCAAATAGCTATACATGCATTGATGATATGGATGCCATGAGAGCCCTTCAGGTCAAAACTGGAGAGTCCTCAGCAGGGATTCGACAAACCCTGCGAACTCGATAGAAGTATGGTAGAACACTGAGTTTCACTTAAGTCAGGTGGAGCAATGCAATCATGATTGCAAGCCGCACGCTCAGTTCTTGGCACATAATCTCTGCAGTCCAGAGTTTTTGTTCCTGAGAAAAGGGAGAGAAGGGATGACCATAGAAGTCCTGAGAAAAGTCCCTGTGAAGGCCATCTTTGGGATGTTTCCCCAGGACATTGACCTCCACGACAGAGAGGTTGAGCAAACAGATCATTCGAGCGCAACAGGACAGGGCCGAAAAGGGGAGCGGATTGGTCTTTCGGCAATGAGACTCATGCAGCTCTTCATCTAGAACTATGTATATATTCTCTTGGATTGTTGCGCAAGTGCCAGTGTGGTGGGGTGAAGGCTGATAATTAATTTGCTGTCTTGGTACAGAAAAGGCTTGAATCCATTCTTGTATGTCTTGCCATCATTATTTTCGAAGGTAGAAACAGGGCCAAGTGAAAGGTTTGCATGAAACGGAAGGTGCTCCAGAGGAAGCATGCAGGCTTGGACGTTCACCACAAGTTTGAGCTGAGGACTCCGACCAACTTCGGACGGACATTTTCAAGATGCAGACCAGCCTAGACATGGGAGTCAAGAAGAACAAGGAGAACGGATGGAGGAAATGAATGCAGATCAAAGTTGAAGACATCAAAGACATCATATTGTATACACACTCATGTAATTATACACACTTGATCTGGTATTGCGTGGTTCAGGTTGCTTAATTTCAGCCAAGACGGCAAGACGTCATCCCATTCCATACTGTGTTCAAAACACTCTTTTGCGTGTCTTTTGCAAGCAGGGACTGGTTTTGGGAGGAGCTGCTGACATTTCTGAAGTCCATTGTTTCTAAGTTTCAACCTGTGGCACTATTGACCCCAGGAAGGAGAATGGGAGGATCGACATGAGCAGATTCAGCTTGCGGGACACACCAACCAAGGGCCTTCGGATAGAGCCCTCCCAGAGGCTGTGTCCCTTTTGATGAGACTTGAAGGCCACATTTAGAGATATGGCGAGGTGCTGCCTTTGCAGGAAAGCTTCCTATTTAACAAGCACCCGGCAGGCGTCGGACATGCAAACCTTCATATTCTGATCCATCTATGTGGAATGTGGGCGCTTTAAACATATTTAGACTTAAATTGATTGCAACCTCTAAGCTTACATTGTCCAAATGCATCAGCAATGGAATCTCCATGTTTGCAAGGAGTACCTGGACTCTGAGACCAAGCGACTAGAGCTACCTGTTTGCAAGTCAGTCTGCCCATTGAGCTACTCAGAGCAACTCCTTGTTCACTCACACAGCCAATCACAGCCATTTGGGCTGTCAAAGCTCAACGAGACAGAGCTTCCGGGAACCCACTCAGTCATGGCCCCAAGGTTTGTGTCAGGTGAGACGGTCATGGTCCTGGTCTGTGTTAGGTGAGCTGGACCTTTGAAAGTCCCCGAAAACACCGTTAGACAACCCCAAGGCCCCAACTCCTAGATCCAGAAAATCCATCAAGCACTACTTTAAGCTGTGACAGACCGTGGAACCATCTCTTCGGCTCTTCGACTGCAGGCTCAGCATCGACCAAGTAAAGGCGGGATTGCAGATAGCAAAGTGGCTTTGGAAAGGGTATAGAGTAGGCCACATCCTAACTCCGTCAGCAATGTCAGCAGTCCTTGTCTTAGATCATCCAGTCTACAGATTACCATATGGGTGTGCTTTAAAGGGAGACCTCCCAAGGAAGAAGGACAATAGACCCAAACCCATTGGGCCAGAATGTCTCCCCGTGAAAATAGACACCTCATTCTCAGCGGAGCAGACGGATGGTTGGTCAAGGAGTGTTTACTGTAACTTGGGTACCCGATTTTGTGATGTACCAGCCACATGGCTTGTGACCTTGTCAAGTGAGAAAGCAACGTTCAGAACAGGAATGGGACCGAGTGGTACGGTTGCAATCTGCGAGGTGGTGGATAAATCTGGAATTCCAGTCATTGTCGACACAGACCTAGACTGCTGGTGGTGGTCACGTCAGGAGATGCACAAAGCCCTAAGCGATGAAATCTGGGGCCCTGAGGCCGGCGGTTCAGTGGAGCAAATGAAGCGTCACCTGTCCAGTTGCATGGGCTTATTGAAGCAGATGTCTTGAGCGGAGTCAACCTCTGGACTTTAAATTCATTGTTCGAATTGGAAGCCTTTCAGGCCAAAGTGGCAAGAGTCAAGTCAGTGACCCAAATCCCCAAGTTCCACGAAGCATCATTTGCACCCTGAAAGACTAACATGGACCCGGGTCGAATGGCTCCTCAAAGACAGTTTTCCTCTAGCTGCACCAGTGGTTTTCAGGGTCCATGTGAGTTTTCATCCGGGTATATAAGCATACATATATATATATATATCTAGATCTTTGCTTCAGGAAGTCACGGACTTCTCACCTCCTAGCTTGCGGCGTGACTTGGTCTCAATTGAGTGCACCAACGGTCGACTACGAATTGTTCATAGTATTTCTTTCCCAGGAGTATATAGTTGATTCATGTTGATTCAGGTAGCTTTTTAATGGCCCTTGTGGTGCTGAAACATGACTTACACCATTTGCACCTGCACAGAAAGTGTGCAAATGTCCCAATACCTGGGCCCAATGTGTCGTCACCGACACCTAAGGGCTGTGCCATTCCTATCTCGCTCGTGGCACGCTCCCCTACCTAATACATGATAATACATGATAATACCTTTTTTTTGCCACCACAAAAAAAAAGAGTACAAGTCTGATAAAACGCCTCAGAAGTCCAACCACATGACGTGAAGATGACCTGAACAGCCTGACTCAGTTCACACATCAATTGAAGAGTTTCCAGCTTCAGTCACCACAACCCGACGTTGTATCATCCAACAAGATACAACAGTGAGGCTTAGACATGCAGACGCGGCAGCTGGAAAAGACCATCAAAGAGGCGAGCTGCTCGCTGCTCGTGTCGATCTCCTAGCTGACTGCTCGTGGTCGTCCCTCACTCTTCAGAGTTCCAGCAAGAACTCCTAGCTGACTTAGCTTTTTTCCAAGGAAACTTCGAAGAAGTTCTAGAACATGGTCAGGTTGTGATTCTGTGATGCCTACGTTTTGTCCTTCGATTGCGTTGTTGGTGTGATCGGACTCACCATGATAATCGAGAAGGTCACCTTCCCTTTGTTTTCTGTACATTTTGTGAGTTCGCACAAATGCTTGACTGATGTGGACTGGTAGCCAGACGGAGTTGGTCCAAAGCAAGAACTACTCAGATTGAAGCAAGGTAAGTCCGAAAATCCTCTACACATTCATGAAAAAGGGATAGACAGAGCCAATGTTCTGTCCCAAGAGGCGGGATCAAAGGTTGATTGAATGACTGAACTCGCGCAGCGAAGCACTCCGCCTCCCTGCAAGACATGCAACTTTCTGGTCCCCAAGTCTTCCCTCGATCAAACCTCAAGGAGATTTTCCGGATTCTTTGATGGGTGATCTTGGCTCAAACGAGTCACTACCTGGGGTTGAGAGGTATTGGGCAGGCTTATATGCTAAATAAAAAACATATATATATATATAATTATATATATAATATATACATGTGTAGTGATTGATGCTTTTTAAATGATGTTTTGTTCTCCTCATGTCTTTTAAGATCTTTTAAGCAAGACAGTGTCAAAATCTGTCACAGGCAGTGTCACTCTTTGATATCTCTCATTATCTCTCCCTGCTTTGGCTGGGCTGTGCCAAACATGCCGTTTCTTCGGAGGTGCTGGCTGAGCTGCGCGAGCTGCGGCTCCTGGATGCGCATGTGAAGAGGGTTCGGTTCCCGGATTTGGCCGCGGGGAACCGGTTGGTGGTCGTTCGTTGTCACATCATGGGGATTCCAATGGATTTTCGTTGGGTTTAGTTTCTTGGAATTCCACTGGGTTTTCTTTGGATTCCAATGTCACATACTAGGTGATTGTTTCTTGGTGATTGAGAAACACAATAACGACTCTCGAACGACAGGAGACCTGTGATCCACACCCATCTTTTCGACTGTCTTGCTGTGACCTTCGAGGCTGCACTCCTGGGAGTCCTTTTCAGGAATCCGGATGAACGCACAGATCTAGGGAGAGGTGAGGTGAGCAACATCCACCGCAAAAACAAGTGGGATAGAAATCTGAAAGATCAGCAACTTCTCCAAAGAACCACCGCATCTTGAATGCCCGTTGCAACGGGTCAATGAATCTGGCCACGGGTTGTGGGTCCGGCGTGCGATGGTGCCCACACTCCCCCAAGCTCAGCGAACAAGACATCCCACCCAAACCAACCCACCAAACTGAGGAGGTTCTTGCCGTCCACACGTTGTGGTTGACCTGAAACCACCATGGTGGGACCACCCCCTGGAGTTCACCAGGTTCACCACCAAACCACCGGAGCCACCACTGGGGGTTCTCACCGGGGCACCCCCGAGGTCACGGAGATCCAGGAGGGCCACGGCGTGCAGCTCACGGAGCTCACGGACACCAGCAACGAGATCTCGCAACGGGTCAACCAGGTGAACAAGGAGACGGTCGAACGACGGGCCGTGTTGACACAGCGGCTAGGTGAACAAAAGGATACAAAAGGGGCGGAGAATTGTGGACATCTGGAGATATGCATCTATTTGCTTCTGAAACTCTTTTGAGGCATGCGGCATGCAGAATGATGCACACAAATCATGCATGGGGCCGGGGTCTTTTTTCGTGGGTGGAATTCGTCCTGAAGTTCATCCAGTGTTGAAGGTTGAGTGCGAGTTGTTTCCAAACCAACTAAGAATACAACAGATCCTGCGGCTGAAGGGCTTCCATGATCTATTTGTGTTTTGATGCACTAGCAGCAACTAGCAGTTTTAATTTTCCTCGCTGATCAAAATCCTCGATTTCTCCTTCATCGCATGATCTTGGACTTTTGAGGATCTAAAAGCGGAGATCAAGAGGACTGCGAACTTGATGTCTGCATACTCTGCGAACTTATTGCTGGAGACCCAGGGATAAGGACTCTCCGAGTTCAAGTTGTTCAAGACAAATACATGAGAGTGTCACTGTCCTGATTCGTTTCCCAGAACCTATTTTCCTTCAAGCCACCTTTCAGACATGTTGCTCGTTGTGAATTCTGAATGACATGCGACAGCCTGCAAAGTTTCAGACTGGTCAATAAAACTGAGAGATTTGCCCGGTTGGAGCTTCCATCCAGTGCACTACTCAGGCATGAAGTTCGTTCCTCCTTCAGTAACGAAGTGAAAGAGCTGGCGGGTCTTCATCAGGAGACCCTAGACGAAGCATGGCAGTGAAGATATTGCAGTGTGAAGGTAGGTTTTTTGAAGGGTATCAGTGAAGGACGTGGGAAGGACATGGAAGGACCATTTTTGGGGAGTAGGAAGGGTTCGGAGTACTGTAGGGCCCGTAGGAAGCCGTTTGTTCACCCTCCACAGTCAGATGGCAGGCTCGAGAAAACTTGGCAGATGTTATGTCATGACCCGCGGCAAACGTGATGACGTACAAGTACGGTTTCTGGTGCTGTCAGGTCCTATTCCTGAGGGTGGGAAGTGGGAGAACAGTGTTCAGATGCTCAGATGTTTGTTTTGTTATTTTTGTGATAATTTATGTTGATTATTTACAACCTTTAACATCCTATAACTCTTGTATGTAGGTATGCAATGGCGCTCTTCAAGGAGAGTGGGTGATTGAGTGCACATGTGCCGCATGTAAGCTTGCATGCAGGATGTGCAAGTCTTCCTGAAGGAGACTGAGGCCTGGCAAGTGTGACTATGTTCGTATTCGATGACCAGACAGTCTTGCAGTGTTTTGGCCATGGTTTTCCTGGTGCATGCCTTTGTTGCCATTTGCAAGAATTCTTCATTCACTTGAATCAACCACACATGGAACATCATGAACCACACACATTAAACGCTTCGATCTTTTCGTTAAAAAATACGCTGTCGACGACTGTGACGCCCCGCGGTGGGTAAAAATGGTTCGACGGCGGCTCAGGCCTCGCTCCACAGTCTCCAAGAGTCCTTGCACTCCAGCGGGCGACACGTGGAAGCTTCGCTCCGGGAGGTGCGACGGGCTCACACGACGCGTCGGTGACGAGATCAGGTGACATGGAGATCATATTCTGTATAGATATAGTATATATAATATGTGTATGAAGTGCATGCATGAATTCAACATATACAGAGAGACACGGTGGCACGTGAGGAGCTCTACACAGAGGAGCTAAAATTAAAAGTGTTAAAAACGACAAGTGTCATATTGAATCGCAACTCGACGGGCAAATAACTTAGATATGCATGTCCAAACAACACGGGTAGAGCTTGTTCCCAGCCACCTTCACGAACAGGTGCGCCTCGATATTGAAAGCCTGGACTCCAAAAGGAAGAGGGATAAGATTGGCCCGGACCTCAGTTGCTTTTACCTGGTAAAGTTGCGACTGCGAGGCAGTATATAGCTGATTCGCACGGGAGATTGCAGCCAGCTTTGATCGAGTGGAATCGAGTGGAGACCAAGGACTTGAAGAGAGCATTACGGGGTTGCAGCAGCAGGCAAGGCTGTGGTGCAGATATGACAGGAAAGAATTTGTGGCAGCATCTATACAGCCCATGAGTTGGCGCATCCAAATAAAAACACGAACAATGCTATTGGCTGATCAGGCCTCCAGTCCTTAGAATCACCTACAGTATGAGGATGCATGCAGCATATGCTTGGAGTTCGTTCAGTTGGTTGGGCCGCTTGTTTCCACCAGGCCAGCCACTCCTCCATGTCAGCGAGTCAGCTGGGCCAAACTCTGGAGCACCTTTCCAGCGTGAGAAGCCCAGGGGCTTCACGGATCTGCACGGCGTTTAGAGAGTTAGGATCAACATGGACCATGAGTTTGGAGAGCTTTTTCCCGCTTTGGCAAGTACTTTCTTGTTTCGAGGTGTTTTTGCTGGCAAAGGAAAAAACTCTCTGTGCGGCTTCATGAGTTTAACCCTGAAACAGCGACTGTTTGGGGTGGGACTATCTGATCTATTTGGCCAGCGTGGGTGGGTGTGGAGTGCCTCGCGTTTTGAGACCGCTCGGGATCACCCAAGCAGGAGGGCAAGAGGGTTGAGAGACATATTTCGACACCACCATGTTTGAATACTGGCCACAGAATGCCGCAGGCCGATAGATCGAAACAGGCCGACAGATCGAAAAGGACGTAGACATTGCTCGGTCACGAACGACTCATTCGACTTGGCATCCCTGAACTCCCGTCCGACTCGGCACGTGTGGCCAGATCCTGGGCATCTCACTGCAAGGGCAGCGAATGATCATTGCTCTTGGGGTTCAGGACTTCGTGGATCGAAAGGCGCGGATAGAAAGGACTCGTGGATGATGAATAAGGGAGAGCCTTGGGGGACCTCTGAGCCACGGACTCTGTTCAGGCACATGGAGACCAGGCACGGATGCATAGGCAAAAACCTCTGAGGTGCTTCGCCGGAATATTTTCTCTTAAGCAAACCATGAGACCTGGAGGGCCAAGACCTTGAGCCCTCGGCTCGTCATCGCCGCAACTCGCACGGTTGCGCTACTCGTATAGTTGGATGCCAGGACACAACATATGTGGGCCTCAAGAAGGGGCACACAGGCTGGACATCGGTCAATTCCTTGGAGAACTTGTGTGACTTCAAAGATACCGGTCTGAAGTCATGTCTAAACTGGGGAAGTGCACTATAGCAAGCTGTTGGAAACATTAATATAGAAGGTGAAGACGTCCTTGAGCTACGCAGCTACCCTGAAGCAAAATTGGGATAAACCGCGAGCATGTAGCTTGGTTGGCAGTCACGAAGGATGCAACTCTTAGCATCCGACTTGGAAGGTTTGACACCATCCGTAAGCATATGTACTGTAAATAATGTGTTACAAAATCATATAGAATGAATGATAGTTCATTCACCTCATCCCATCTCAACAGCTTCCTGTGGCCTCACCAAGCTTTGTCTTTCCTTCCCTTGACCCGCTCCAGCGTCAAAGCTAGGGCCTGGATGTTCTCGTGACTTTGCATGCTCCATTGAAACACGGAGTGGGTCTGTTATGCAATGTTTAATATTGTTTAATCATTTTTAGTTAGAACGATGGTATCCCAGAATCCTCCGATTTATATAAGAATCATAAAGCATGTTCCTGCACAAAGAAGAGAGTACATCCTTTGGATGCCAAAAAAGGCATCCTTTGTCTCAAGAGTGGGTTGCCCGCTTCACCCTAAACATTCTGAAACTGAAGCAGCCTTTCGCCCCTTTTGCAACTTCAGGCGCAGATTCCTTTAGAGGTTTCAATTCGTGGATTCTTCCAAACCGTCAGAATCCAAACCGATGATTTTGCCACACGCGACACGTCCCTCGCGTCACCGCTTTGAGGTGGGCTGAAGCTCGGCCCTCGTTTGGACCTGGACTCCTTCACAGACCTGCCGTGCCCTGCGGTCCTTCGGTCGACCGGGAGTGTTGAAACACTGAAGTAATAGGATGAAGCATGGCCCGGGCCCGCGGATGACCGCAGATGATGGGGCAGGTTTGTGCACGCCCATGACACTGGCTCGAGCTGAATCATGCAGCAAAGAAGGTGTCGAAAGATAAGAACTCCATGGCCATTCAAAGTGCTGCAGACCCTAATAGATGGTTCAGCCGTCATGGTTCAAAGATCATCGTTGATCATAAATGTGCATTCCATTGTCTTACCTCAAAAACCTCTCAAAGCATCATTCATGGCATTTCATTGCCTTTGGTTGCATTCTTTTCAGAATTCATTTTGAGCCTGAATCGGCTTTCAAAACCAAAAAATGCATACATGCACATGGTTGATGTTGGGAACTATGCATGACCCTCATGACCCTCTACCAACTTGACTCGCTTGACTCACTTGATTGGCATGTGAAAAGCTGCCTTCCTTCGCGCGGAAGATGCGCGCACACTTAACTCGATTTGACGATTCGACTCGGTTGAAAGTTGCAATCACGGCATCCATCAGCCATCAGCTGACCCTTGATGGTCTGTAAACGTCTCCACATCAACAAAAGGGAGAAAGGTATGACTTTTTCAGTTGGATTTGATGCTAGTGTTATTGGTGCTTGAAGTTTTGATTGTTATTTCGTGGAATGCAACACAGTTGATGTAGTTCTACAATGAAAGTGGCCTTGAAAATACCCCCGTGGTGAATAATTACTGTCTGAGACTCGTCGACGACTCATCAGTCACCTTTCGGTTGCCCGCCCAACCTAAGGGGGATGAATCCCGACGAGGATGAGCAGCTGCAAAAGCGATGCAGGTGGGTCTCGCTTGGAGTGTAGCTCATGTTCCATCGGACTGCTTTTCTTTGCCAATTGATGCTAATTGCTTCGTGGCTTCTCGGCTTCTCTCCTTTATGGACCTATTGCGAGCAACTTTTCAGCATTCTCTATCAGGCAAGTAGGGAATACATCACTCGTGATCCACGTCATTCTTGCAGAAGCCAAGTTCTGCCCAGGTACTTGGCGACCGCCTTTGGGTTTGGCCAAGGATGTTGCGTCTGGCCAGCCCGAAGACATCAACTCACCCATAGTGGACCGAGGATGTTCTGTGCCTACCTTTCAAAAGCTTGTGGACAGAAGCCAGGGTCAAGGTAACAAAAATGAGCAATTTGAACGTGGGGCCCCATCTACAAGCCACCGGGCCGCAGGTATTATATATATAAAATTATATAAATATGTTGTTAGCCATCGTGCATCATAGCGCAATTATATGTATGTATATATATAATATTTGTGTATCATTGCCGAATCGCTTCGCAGGGTATTGAATTGTTGACCCAGGTCAACGTCTATCTTTCAGCAGGCGGTTACCTGGGAGACAAGTTTGATGACAAATACTTCTTTGTGCTGCTGGGCGCCTAGAAGAGGGGTAGAGGTAGTTGCACGCCATGACCTGTGCCAGCTTGTGACTTGCTGCAAGTGATCATCAAATACCAAGTTGTCCCGTCTGCCATTGTTTTCCAAATTCTCCCAACATCAGAAAGGGGTACTCTTGAATCAGTTGGACTGATCATGGTTAAGCTAGCAGCTAGCCATGAGCAGTGATGTCACTTGGTTGGCAGCTCTAGCACAGGGAGCCTTCCCAAGTTCCTACCTGGGCTCCTCTCCCTTCTATATCTCGAAAAGATGCATCTCAACCTGCCGCGGACCATTCAAGTCGTGTTTGACTTAAGGATGTGCGCAGCTGTCTACGTGACGCCACTGTTGATCTTTGCTTTGGCTCGCAGGCAGGGACAGATATGGAGGTCTCCGAAATTGGCTTCCAAATCTGGTCTAACCCATTCTACAACAATGCAAGTAGAAGTCAGAGAAATGGAGGGACACGACTCCAAGCCCATTCCCATCCCCTTGGTCTCATGTCCTTTGATGATGTCCTTTGTCAAATTGCTGCTTGAATCAACTGTCGTCACCAGTTGCAGTAGCAGTCTGTGAGCTAACCGCCAAGGTTGGATCCTTACTTCGACAGACACTTTGGCTTTCGGTCTGTCTACCAGGCAGTGAAGGGAGGTCGTCTTAGTTTGTGGCATTCCGAAGCCCGACCCAATTGCATTTCACATCATTTCACCAGGTGGGAACGCGGTGGCTCTTGCCAACATGACAATGATGCCGTGGTTCCACGCGGTGTGCCAATGGCAGCCAGATGGTTTCTACTGATTCCATGAAATCATGAAGGCACACCATGCCAACAAGAGTATGCAAATCTGAAGAATTGATGCTTGGATGGTAGAGTATCAGTAGGATTCGCAAGCTGGGGTATATATTCTTTATTGTGTTTGGATCATGTGGACAAACATGGACCACATACATTCTTGGTTTCCCCTTGGCACCAACAAGACAGTTTCTCGATGGCTCTTGTGGGACCAGCAAAAAAGATCCCCAAACAGGTCCCGACACCGAAGAACACATGAGTGAGAATCTGCAGGAAGCCACGCCAGTTGCAGACCGGCGTTCGTTTTGTCGTCTCCCAAAACCCGCGGGACCGGGGTCATCGCCCGCCAGGTGCGCCTGGCGATTTCGATGCTCGTCGGAGCGCTTTTGGTGGCCGGCTTGATCGCCCGGCACTGAGGAAACGATCGCGTCGGGGGATGGACCACGAGGGTTATTTGATTGTCTGTCACAGTTTCAGAAGAGTCCACTACTGATGTGAGCAGAGCCTCCTTGCTTTCGTGCACAAGCACGACAACCTTGCGACCACCTCTTGTGCACCCAACCGTCTCTTCAACCACTTCTGCGAACCAAAAGAAATCCATGCCGCGCTTGTTCTACCCTCGCGCTGCCCGACTCGATGTCACCGCGCCTCTTTTTCGCGTTCGAGGCAGCAACATTGGGCACGGGCGACCAAAAAGCCGCTGCGAGGGAGTCCCAGCGCTTCAGCCGTGTTATCTTAATTCATGGGGCACATGGACATCAAGTCGGTACAAAGTGCTGCTGAAAGGAGGTGTTTAAGTTTGTTTATGGATGCTGGACGACGGTCTGTCTCAACCATTTGGATCCAGGCTTGGGTTGTTTGTATATGTTTGTACTGTTGAAATCAGAATGCTTACAATAGCAACCTGCTGAGTTTTATGATGCAAGTGGCCTGTAGATCTTTGTACTCCTGGGCTGGCACAGGGAAATTAATAATTTCGATGTTGGCCAATGATGAGGATTGGTGTGGCTTCGTTCATCTGTGGGTGCACCAAGGGTGCTCCGACAAACAGTCCCCAATGCTTTACTCGAGGAGTGTCACCTACTTTGTCGTTGACATGGCACCCGATGTTTTGAAGTCTACGCTACAACTTTGGCACTAAGCATGCATTAAAAAGCGACAATCCAAAGATTCTTTCCCAACCAAGGGGATTTCTAGGCACCTTAGATTTTGGTTTACCACGAAGGCATCCTCAAAGTCGTGGACTTTTTACCAGAGCCCAGTGCCCCAGAACAATACAAATCGTTGGAGCCCGGGGTCCCATTTTTGATGCGCCCCCAAAACCACCTGGCATGCAAACAGGGAAGAGGGCTTTGCACCAGTAGAAGTCCTCATTCTCTCCATATGAAAGACGACATGTGTTTGGCTTTTGGTATGTCTCTCACACAGACCTTAGCAGACAGTCAGTCAGCAGCCTTCAATTGGTGATACATGACAATGCATATATAATATGTTCTGTATTGTTCGGTTAATATGAAATATGAAATATACAATATGTAATTATACAATATCCACACACGCATTGTAACACAGTTGACACATGTGTGGTCTGTAGATGAACATTCAGCAAATCCATCAATGAATTACATGGCCCCAAAACTGTTGATATAAACACCGCGCCATACTAGAAGGTCAACCCAATGGACGTTTCCCCAAGGTTTCACCTTTTAAATGATTCAGAAAATATGCCAAGTATGACAACGAGGGGACCTTCCTCTGTGACCACGGAAGGTCTTGGCCTTGGGCGCGGCCGTGGGCTGCGTGGCCGGCTCGGTGGCCTCGGCCTCCGCGCAGTTCTTCGGAGTGACTCGGGCCGAAGGAGTTCTTTGGAGCCACCGGGAATTGACATGTCTCCTGTTGTGTTGGTCCGAGGTGGGGGAAATCGAGGGGTCCATGGACATCGTTTTGTATTATGGTTATATGGTTTAGATATGTGGTTAGATGAGATCTTGGGTCTCTAGGGATGTCTTATTTATCCCGCTTGACCTGGGGGTGGGGTTCTTGTTGAAAGTAAAGCGCCACCCACTGCACCTTGGAGTTGAGAATCTTTGAGGTCGCCGCGATGTCCTGGACCGCTAAGGTCGTTTTGGAGGGCTCGCGGCAATGTTATACAATATATATATATAGGTGTTATGGGGGCGTTGTTTCATTTTTGTTTTTAAATAAATGAGTCGTATCAAATGCTTGAATCAGGAACATACATGCAAAGGGAAGAGTGTTCCTTTTCCGTCGAAGGTGATTCTTCAAAATATTTAATTCCTTGATATTCTTCGTTTGTACAGTTTTCATCAGACTATATAACCACTGAAGATCTAGGTGATGTGGGTGGCTTGTGGAAAGTGCGTTCGTTTGGTTCCGTGCCACTGGGGAATTGGACACATGCGTGAATATGGCGTGTCGCTGGTGAGCGGCACGACTAGTGGTGATTTTAGTGGGTGGGCACTTGGGTACCTAGTAAAAAGAGTTTTGAAGCTGTATGGCCGTGGGTTTTGGAGTGGGGAGAGCCATGCTTTTTAGTAGGTGGCAGGGATTACAGTCTCTTTTTGGCAGTCCTATTATGCTGAACCGCCCCAAAATCACCACGCAAGTTTACGAGGATCCATTTTCGGAACCTGGCCAGAACAATAATCCAAGCAACAGCCCCAAGCACTCTCGTTCCAAGGTGATCTCCCCGAAGTTGGTGCCGCTCTTCTTTCTGGGGCAGACGGCCTCAGGCCACCGGTGCCGTGCGAAGGGTGCGAAGGGGAAGCTCAGTGCGGTAGGCACATTGGAGGGGGGAAACCGTTGGGCTGGTTTGACAATGGTGTGGTCTGGGCGTGTGTTTTCCCCGAAGTCCGGTCCACTCTGTCGAATGAGTCTGAACCACGCTTAGAACTCTAAAACCCATCGCAACCCCTGTCGTATGCTTTGACTATTGTCGGTGCTGACGTCCACTCCTTTGGTCAAGTTCAATATTATGTAAAAGTAAAAGTTCAAGCATCGACTCTGGTCATGTTTGCGTTCTGGATAAAGTTTGATAACGAAACATGCCAGGAGCATACATCAATGCTGGTCACTCAGCATTCTCACAAGCTCGGACGACCGACTTTGTGGAAGATAGATGGTGGAACCCTCCTCTTTGGCATAGCATGGCCTTCCTTTTCAATGTACGCAGTTTACCTTATAAATCAGACATACACAACCCTGTTGGGCCGGCCCTGTTGCATCCGATTGCAATTTTGTGGCACTTTGGACAGGCAATGTACTCATGACTCACGACTGTACTTTGGCTACTTCCAAGTCGCTGCTGTGCTAGACAGGGTGAATACCGCAGCCAATCAGCCCAAACAGATTCCAAACGGAGTCTGGTAGTTTCGCTTGTCAGCCGGTCAAGCCCTCAGATTGCAAGTGACCCTTTTTCTCGGAGGAGTCGATATCGATTCTTCAGCAAAGCTTTGACTCGGATGGCCTCCATCGGGGTTTTGGCCACCTCAAGGCTCCATGGACCGACCAGCAGGTTCGGAGGGCTCGCCGAAACGCCACATTCAGACTTTGAGTCGGAGAGAGTCTACATCGAATGAGCGTATAAACCCCCCAGAGTAGGATGGAGTAGGACTTTTTGTTTCTTGTCCTTCCGGCGCAAAAACGCCCACTTGGCCTTTGCGGTTGGGGTCGGAGCGTCTGTTGCTTCGCGGCGAGCCGTCGGAGCCGAAGACTCGGCTCTTCGATCCAGGAGTCTGCAACAGCGAAGTCCGTGCTCATTCTGCGGACTATATCGACTTCGGCTGCCAAAGGGGCAGGCCGAAGAAGGGTTCGAACCCTGTAGTTCATTCTTTTTTGGCTCACTGTTTTTTTTTTTCCGTAACGGTCTCATAAGAGTTTGCGTCGACAAGTGGTATAATTCAGAATCTTTCGGTGACTTGGATCTTGCTGTTCACTTTTGCAATCTGAAAACTACATCTGCAACCCGTGTGTGAATCCTGGACAATTATGTGGATGGCAAGGGGAGGTCTCTTTTGCCGTGGCGCATCATTGTCTTAGGCTTATGGTTTGAACCCTGCCCTACCTTTCCAGGCTAGTGGACCGCGACCTTGGCGGGCGGCCGGCAGCGGGGCTGCGACGGTCGCGATCTCCACCTTTGGTGCCTTGACCACATCACTGTGTTCCAATTCACCTCAAGTCACCAAGTTCTGTATAGAAGTATCAAAAGGAATGAGAATTATGATTGAGTTCTATGTTCTGCAGGGAGTTCAGGATTGAATTTGTTGGCTAAGGACCTTGCCACGCTCGGTTGCGAGGACCGAGATGGGTCCGGAACTCACTCAATGGTGAGACGCGCCCTTGATATTCACTGTTTGGGATCTTATCTCTGACAGAATTGGATCTTCTTCAGAAAGGCCAGTGGTTTTGGATGCTCAGATCTGACTCTACAATAAGTGACAATCAGTTGTTTCCAGTACACGATGTTCGGACAAAAGTCTCGACGTCGAAAAACCACCCACTTCGGCTCACCGTTCGGGCGCATCATCCAAAAGCTTCAATCATTCTCTCAGACCCAGACAGACGTCGCTCAGCCTCCACATTTGCCACGAACCACCTGGGGTTGTTGATTTCGCAACTGGACTCCTCCCAGGTGCAACGAGGCCCGTGAACATGGGGAAGATGGATCAGGGTGTGGGAGATTCTATCGGACGGAGTGGATCCACGAGTCTTCGAGGTCCATGTGAAGTGCATACAGGGACGGAAACAAAACGAAGAGACCTGGGATGAGACCCTCTAAATCCCTGGATCACACGGTTACGAAACATTGGAAAACGATAGGGGACTATAGGAGACTCACAAATCTGAAGGTGCAAGTCTGCCGCGGATCATATATTTTGACAGTACCTCTTGCAGATCCACTGTGATCCCAATATGCCCCAATGTCCACAGTTCGATCAGGGAATTTTGCAATGTCACAGCTCATGGGTTTGGCTTTGTTTTGCACTTGCTTGGGACACCCAGAAAAGAACGATCTCTGTGGATAGCTTTGGCAGCTTTTTTTCCCCAAGGATGTGGTCCGCACTATTATATATATATAAGGACTTTCCTGTTCAAAGCCACTTGCTTCGTAAGAACTCTTGTTAGAGCTAAGAAGCTTAGAAGCTTGCACATTCCACCGAGACTCCAGTCCTTGCACCTTTCTGACGAGAAACAAGGCCCTGTTCAGACTTTGCTCTCTTTCCTCTTGCCTTTTCCACCTTGCTTGGACAACAGGTCATTGTTCTGCTTTGTTGGACTGTATGATACTGTATGCCGGGCTCGGACAACGGTGTTGGACGGCAGTATTTTCGTCACCCCGAAGCCGGAAGCCAAATCCTCATCAACGCTGTCCAAAGGACATATTCAGGTGTTTTTAATTGTGGTATGTATTCCAACCAGTGCAGATGTCATGCTGGTTGGAATTCATTGGATGAGTAGATGTCTATCCACGCAGAGATCCGATTCTGGTTTCTCTCCCGTCTCCGAGAGCCCACGAGCCCACGGCAAGGTGCCGTCCCGTAGAGAAACGCAGCTCTCTGCCTATATGCGCTCTGGGGAGGATGCGAAAGAAGCCTTTAAAAGCCCTGGCACAGTTCTGAGATCCTCCTCATTGCCTGAGAGGTCTTAGATTTGTGGGTAACCATTGACTGGGGCCGATCAATGGGCTCAAGATACCAAAATACCACAAAGAGATACAAAGAGTAGATAGATGGAGCTACGTTTCCTGCTGATTCAGCTTACTGCGGCACTGAATACTCTTCAGCTGTTGCTCCAATTCTTACCCCTGTCAGGTGCTTCTATGAGCGGTGCAAGCCCAGTGGTAATTTCACTGAAGTTCCATCAGCTTTGCCGACAAACCCTGATTGGTTGAAGACAAGGCTTGCTGCTCTTGCCGAAGAGAGCGAGTTTCCCAAGGTGAAGGTTCGGCTGAATCGGCCAAAAAACACGGAGATCCCAAGCCCCCTTACAGGACATGGCGACTTGGAAAAGATTGGCGCTTGGATGGCCCATGTTCCCATCGCAGTCACTGATTGCATGGCTCAGGCTGAGACAAGCAATAAGTAATTGCCTCCTCTAAACATCTCTTCAGGATTGTCGATCTCCATCCTGCTTTTGGTCCAACAATTTGGTACGGTCTCTGGGCGGGAACCGACGCTAAGAGAAATCGGTCGCCCTCACCGTCGTCGGAGATCCCCGTCATCGTTGCGTCGTTGAGGCGAGCGGACGAAGTGCCGATCACCATCTCCACGGCTTTTGGGTGAGGGCGTGGCGATCGGGGAGGCGAACAAGGCATCCCTTGGCGTCCCCTGGCGAAGCCGCTTGGTGAAGGGATGAAGGGAAAGCGGTTGGAAGGGAAAGCGGAAGGGCGCAGGGACAGAAGGCAGTGAACTAGCTCACTAGGAAGTTTTTGTAGAATGGTAGTCGTAGCCAGCAAAAGTGGACATGGCCTACCCAGCAGGGAACGAAGTTTGACTTCCTTCGCCAGAGCTGCTAGTCCGGGGTGCTCCATCTTCTGCCACGGCAGCTGGTCCATTGCTATTTGAGCCACTCACTATCGGACCGAACCCTTTTGATTGAATGAAAGACGGGACGAGCAAAAAGGACTGGATAAGCCCACACGTGAAGTTTAATGTAGCATGCAAGGAAAGAAAGAGAAGGTCGTAAACGAAAGGAAGAGTGAGTGAGGGAGGAGGGGATGGCAGGCAGGGCCCTCAGGGTGGAGTCAGCTTCAGAAGCCTAAAGACCGAATACCGGACTGTGGCTCAAGCAGGACTGTGAAAAGGTTTGCGACGCTGAAAATGGTCAACGAGTTCGACTCAAAATGGTCAACTCCGGTGAAAATGGCACAGGGAGGCAGTAAGTGCATCGCTACTAGTAACAAGAAGTTACTATATAGTAACACAGAACATGGCACAGTGACGTCACAGAAGTAGTGTCGCAGCACAGTGTGCCATAGACTAGATGCAACTACATACAAGCGACAACAAGCCTTCCACTCACCCACGACGCGCCGCTCAAGGCAAGTTGAGCGGACGTCAAGATATCCTATAAGTCTGGTATGCTTTTCGTGCCTTGCGCTTTGGCAAATCAGGGCGCCATCTACCAATTTATGCTCTGAAAGGGAAAGCAGAAGTACAAACCAACTAACACTAAAACATAGAAAGTGAGATGTGATTGGCGCTCCGCATTTGAACCCAACCGGAATCAGCCTGGCAATGTCGTTGACTTCACTGGATCTTTTGCAGCGCATAGTGACATAGTCTGTCAACCTCATCATTATCGTGTTAGATCTTGTTGTTGACATGGTTGTATTACCATCGAGGCCAGCGCCCGGGCGAAGTGACAGGGTGGCTCGCATAAAAACATTCAGAAGGGAGGGAGGGAGGGTGAGTGGGTAACTGGGTGAGTGGGTGAGTGAGTGGGTGGGTGAGGGCGGACAGGGGGGTTGGCGGGACGGGTGGGCGACGGGCCGCAGATGAAATCAAAGATATGGGGTGGGGACCAACTACAGGCTCCTAAAACGACAGTGTCTTGGCCGTTGTTCTTTTGTCCTGTTTGTCTTAACTTGCATTGAGCAGACCAGACCAACCCAGGTCTTCCTGTCTACAGCAAGGGTGCACTTTGCCAGACGATGATCACTGGTTTGTCCACCACAAGGAGAGTCCAAGCGCTTTCAGAGTTCTCGGAGAAGTTGAACAGCAGCACCACCAAGGAGTTGATCTATCCTGAGAACAACGGGAAGGCAACGGAGGCAGACGGCCATTTCAAGAATTGGTTGATCTCCGTGCAGAACTCCTTGCAGTCTCTCAACATAGTTAGGGCTCCCATTCCAACACCCAGAATCAGCATCACAAGGGCTGGATCGCCCACTCTCACTGAGAAGCAGCAGCAGTGCAAGCCGTTGAAAAAGTATCTTGAAAGTGATCAAGGCACCAAGGACGGGGTTGGACACAAGAAGCAACAATAAGTTTTGGTGAAACGTTTTGAGTCGTAGAAACAAAAAGGAATGTACTTTAGCCGTGCATTTTTCGCAATGAAGATCTTGAGATGTTCTACATTAGGGGCTCCTGGCCTTACTACTAGGAACTAGGGGCTCCTGGCATCGCTACTAGGAGCAAGGACGCTACTAGTTAAAAATAGAAGAATCCACCATGAACTTATGCGGAAGGATGCGTGCCCTTTTGCTCGGAATGACTCCGATTCTGCAGCGAGAGAGACGCGACCACCGACAGTGCATGTTCGAATTCACCTGACTCCTGCAACCTCCAGGACAGTTCTGGCACGGGGCCGCTGGTGTATTGGCACGGGTTTGTTCCCCCAACAGGGTGAAGCTATTTGAAGCATATGGCTGGAAGTGTTTTCTTATCCTGGAAGTGACACCAAGTGTTCATTTTCCTCTAAGGCTTTGGCTGACACAGTTCATTTCTCGTAGAAGTTCCGTTCGCAACAGTCCGAAAGATGGCCCAGCACCTTGAGACGTAGTGAAACCGTTCGCATTGTTTGAGATTCTTGCGGCTGGTTAGTTGCTAGGGGCCTTTGAGTGCCTTCGGCAAGAGCGATATTTCAGGCTCGAATGTTAGGATATATTACATGTCAGGCGTTGGAGGTTCAGATGTTTCACTGGTGCAGAGATGGCACCAGCTCACTCTAGGTTCTTAGATTTTTTGGGAAACTTAACAGTAGAACTTGTTACTAGTAGCTTCTAGCTACTAGCAGCGATGCCCTTGCTACTAGTAGCGATGCCCTTGCTACCAGTGAGCATCGATTCCGCTTTGACATGTTCTTTTGCATTACCGACTTTGGCGGTTTCCTCAGATATCCTTGCCGACATATTGACATGCGGTCATCCGTTCTACTCAATGACATCAAGCATATATCATTTGTGCACGCTCATGGGCGGACTGTGCATGCATTCGTCACCGTCCCTTCGACTGACGCGAGCGCTCCGGTCGTCGACGTGTGTTCCGTCGACGACCACGCGGAGCGCGAAGAGTCCTCCGCTCCTAGGAGGACTATTGATGTGCTACCAGGAACCCTCATACACGAAAAGAACCGCACCTGGCAGTTTCAGCAGGAGCCAAACCGGAAAAACGGAGCAAATCAGGATCGTGGTGTGTTATTGCTAGGCGACTTCACAGATGGTTCACGATGTTAAGGCTTGGCTTGTGAGGAATGCATACGATCATTTTGATTTTGGGTTACTTTGTCTTGACAGTTGAAGTCTGCGTCAACATGGCAGATAACATGGCACTAGAATAGTCTAGCAATGGTTTGAATCAAAGACAGTCAAGGATTTGGCCAAAGAAGCAACGCCGTGTCATGCCAAGCCTTCGCCCCTCGCCTTAGGACATGGCAGAGGTGCGGAACGGCGTGACACTGCTGTCCCTAGGCAGTGAGAGAAGGAACATCCACACTTCCACCCGTGGGTTTCGTTCAAGAAGATACAAGAGACGTGAGGAACAGGTGTGTCCAAGAAGTGTGAAAAGCTCGCTCCGTGAGGTCACCCAAAAATACGCCTCGCGGAACCATGCTGCTAAAGAGCAAGGAGCCACGTGGGAGGTGAAGCTGGAATGCAATCTGTATTAGACACGTGGCTCTTTGAGTCCGGGGCTGGGACAGTGACATACCACAGCTGAAACGCGTGAGCATCATCATGTTTTTGTTTCAGCACAGCTTGTGTTGATCATTAGGAAGTCGCAGAAGACCATAGGCAAGTAAGTAATCGCATTGCATTGCTCTGCTTTTGCCGTCTTGAGCTTTGGGGACTTAGAAGGGCAACAGTGAAGACAGCACGAGGTGACCCCGCTGTCAAGAGCGGGACGAACGTCACATTTGGATGACTCTTTAGTCGATGCCCAGGAAGTTATAGATGGCTAGAACATCTCAAACATTATTTGCATGGCAAACCATTCTGGAAATACTTATATAAACGCATCATTCAAACATGAACTGCATCTTGCAAACATTCATCCCAATGTGATCCTTTCTTGCACCCCCTTCGTTTCAGTCGCAGGATCCTGTGCTAAAATCTGGAGACTTGAGCTGCTCAGCTGCGGGATCCGAGTTTTCACTTTCGCCGGCGAAAGGAGCACTTTCTGCCTGAGCAATTCTTCCTGCAACACTTCTTTGTTGGGAATTCGTCAAACATAGTTTAAACCACCCAATTCCAGTTATCACTGAGGAGCCAAGGCCTGGAAGTATCCAAAAGTGTAGAATCCAATCCAAGGGTCAAGCTGAAGCTGTATGGCACAAGCTGAAGCTGCAAAGTGTCCAGATTTCAAGTCTTGAGGCAATGTGAATTGGCCTCCGAATTGCTTTGTGGGATTCCCTGATACATCGCAGACCACGCATGGATGACAAGCTCAGATTTATCAGCAATGGCTGGAGTTCGTTTGTGATGACTATTAGATACCATTAGTTGCACACAGCACGAGCTAAGGGAAATCATTTGACTTTATGTTCCCACACATTTGGACCTAGGGAGGTACCTGCCAATGGTGTTGCCTCAGGTGACCCCGGTGTTGCGCATGGGGTCGAACCAGTGCTGTGAATTCCATTGAATTCCACCCAAAAAGCCGACTAGACACACCAACCTGGGAAGCAGAGCCCTCCATCGAGCTCGTTGGTCCTTAGGTGCCTCGCAATCGACCCTCGAGCCAGATCAGTCGACCAGGACTTGAAAGCACAGCGGCATGATCCCACGAGTCTCCGAGAAGACAGTTTGTGTTTGTTGACGATGTATCTTGTTCGAGTCTATTTTAGACTGAGGTCTGTTGATATCACGTATGTCAGTGGGCAAAAGATGGAGCTCTGTAAATGGACCAGAGTATAAGAATGGAGCAGACTGGTGGGGTTCTCTTCACCGTGCTATTGCTATACCGATCGATAGAAGTATTGATAAAATCTAATAGACAGAAATTATAGTATTGAATCTAATAGTATTGATAGAACCTAATTACAATTCTAATTAAATTCTTCTTGTTACTACTAGTAAGGCACTTGTTACTAGTAGCGATGCACTTGTTACTACTTGTTCATGTCCTTCAGGACACCGCTTTCGCCATTGAGTCCGATTTACAGCTCGTACTCCACCGAAGCGGCGCGACCTCGCTGGCGATAAGGCGCCACTTGAGATGGATTCGTGCAAGCAATACCTGTCTATATTGCCTAACCAGTTTAACTGCACCCCCCCCCAAAAAAGACCTTATCCATCTACCCTTCAGACTGCTGATTGTGTTTGAGCAGGGTCGAGTTTTCGACTTTGCAGAAGCTTTTGAATATACTGTACAAATAGTGTCCTGCAAGAGTGATACTGCCCTAACAAGCGGCATATAAGAAGGGCTTTACTCCATATAAGAAGGACTTTACTTCAGATCCACACAAGATGTTATTTTTTCTTTTTTTTGCGGTGTAAAATAGACTTCAACATAAACGGTTCATGCAGAGACCACTCACATTGGTGGACTGTGCAGCAGCAAGCCTGTTGCATGAGATCCTCCCTGGCAGGTGCTTGGCAGCACAGGCTGAGGCTGTGCCCTCCCGTAGTAACTGCGGTGAGGCTGTCAACTCTTTTCCTTGACTGAGTTGGGACAGGCTTGTAGTTTTTCTTCCAACCTTGCAACAAGAAACCTACTAATAGCGATGGCCTCCAACCTACTAGCGATGGCCTCCAACCCAAGAGGGATGGCCTCCAATCTAGTACCAATGGCCGGGACAAGCTTGCTCTTGTGCCCCAAATCATGCTTGTTCTTGCGATAGCGTTCATGGGCTGAAAAACTAATCACTTGGATTCCTCCCCCAAAAAGTATTTGATCTTGGAAGATTTGGATGTCTCACATGCACATGTTGACCTTGCCTTGTGAACTGCTGACTCACCAACTCACCATGTGGCTGACTGAACAGTCTCTCTTGAATCGGCCCTTGTGGCTGAACGGTCCATGGCCCAAAGAGATAGCTATTTGTCTTTGCCCTTGGGGTTTGTGCACAGCAACCGGCACAAGATTGGGATTTTCTGTAACTTCAGTCCGAAGTCCTTTTGCTGGAGCATTAGAAGTTGGTAGCAACATGTCTTCGGATTCAAAACCATTCAAGTCAATAAATTGCATGCATTGTTGAGGTACACATGTCAATGTTTCAATCCTGAAATTTGGTTGACTCGTGTCCTTCGACTCAACTCATGACCTTTGAGAAATGTCATAACGTGTGTGGAACGACTGAAAAGTGTGTGTGAAATTGATGCATCAATTAACATCAATTAACCACATGTTGCAAATCAAGCAGTCAAACAACATTGTCTCAAGGGCTCATCATCCCCCTTTCCTTTCAATCCCATCCTGTGCTGGTTCTGGAGTTCCTTTGTGTGCCACAACTGTGGCGTGAAGGGAAACCCGAGAGCCACTAGAAACATCTAGGAGCAGTGACTTGCAAATTCGCAGAGACGGACACATCTTCACATGAGTCGTCCGGCTCTGTAGCTTAGCCCTCCATTGCCTGCGGAGAAGAGCTGCAGGGATGAGCGGGGAAGAACTTAGCCTGCCCTATGACGGTGCTGCAGATACTTTAAGGTCATATGGGGATGCTAGACAGTGCTCTCCTTTTCTCTGCACAGGTTTCTACAGTTTCAGGGACAATCGAAACATATTCCAGATCACTCCAGTTTAGCAGTTAGGTTAGTCATCGTCGTATGTGGGCTTGACTGTTAGGTTCGTCGGATTCATAGCTGGCACTTCAGCCCAAAGGGCTGAAAGTAGAATCAATCCGGACACCTATTGCCCTCTCGTGATGGAAAAAAGAACGCATTGTCAGGAGCGACTGATGGCTTTAGACGCACTCCATGCAATATCTCCTGACACCGCAATCCCTTTTAGGTTTTGCATCGGAGAAGCAACGTTTAAGCAGGTAGTGCCGTAATCAGGTGCGTGGTTTGTAGCACTACTT